TTGGATTGCCCATTGTGGACTAGTATTATCTGATCATCTTGAATGTCAGATGATTTCTGGGTAATTTGGAAGTAGATTACTCTGACAGCTTGAAAGTTAATTTTATTCCAGTAGCTTTACTTAACTTAGTTTCTTTTTCATTTTATGATGGTCTGAGGACTTCTTTTCAGAACATACAAACTTTGAAAATTCAGCAGGTCTCGCTGAGTAAAAACATCCAGGAGAGAGCAAAAGAGGCACTTGCAGTTGCAAAACAAGGTTGATAGGTTAGGTGCTTACAATTCAGTGCCTGATGCACTGAATTACTTTAAGGCTCTTCATTCCATCTCAGAGTTACCATAGCAATGTTGAATGTGTTGATCTGGTAAAATTTACTCTGCAAGTTCAAATTGATCTTTTAAATTCATACGTAAGTCTGTTTCTACCATAAAGTTTTTATGCTAGATCAGAGATCTGCTGCTATGAATTAAGTTTGCTTTGCTGGCTGGTAAGCTTGGGACAAGTTGAAACATATCAGAAGTTAAAAAATACAGGAGTCATTTGGGACTTCTCAAAGTAATATTGCTACACAGTTGTCTTATGAAATTTAGTAAGACTTAAAGAAATTTCCAGTATAATTTATGGGAAATTAAACTATTTTAATTAATTTATTCATAAGTATTGCACAACATATTGCACAATAGAACTATTTCAGTTTCTACATAATGCAGCCACAAATACAAACTGTGAATTGATAATCACTTTTTAAAGTGTTAATGATGTCTGATTCTTTAATTTAATGTAGAAGGGACTTCATTAAAGCTCTTCAGGTTTTCACATTATTCCAGTCTTCTGTGAATGCTATCCCTCTTGCCAGTTGGTTTATTCACATAGGCTTATATGCAGTTCAGTACTAACACAGGGCTTAAGCACGTGCAAGTAAATAAAAGAGGAAGTTTATGCTTTCCTCCCCTCTAGTCTCTGTCCCCAGTTTCCTTGGCTTCTTCTGTTTTATGCCTGTGATATTGTGCAGGACAGCTGAAAATGCAAGTTATTCAAGGACGTGCTTTTCCAGAGCAGTATGTCTAGAAGAGAGCAGACCATCTGTTGTATGGCCATAAGGGCTTGTTTACTCCAGGTCTTGAATAATTAAGGTAGGTAAAATACGCAGTCTGCTGGCTTCTTTACCACCAACAGAAACAGATCTGAAATATATATTTATACACTTGCATTTCCTTAGGACTGAACTTCAGCAGTTCTTTTATTGTACCTGTAGCACAGAGAAAAAAGAAGTGCTGACCTGTGTAGTTTCTAAGGAAACTTCTCAACCAGAATCTGTTCTCAGAGTACTTGCTGGTTTGCCTGTATCTCTTTGAACTTAAAAATTAGGTTCGATGTCCTAAAGGTAAGGATAAGATGTGCCCTATAAAATATATTGTACTGTTGTCCTTTCCAGATGTCTATGAAGTTTTTCTTCCAACCTTTGATTTGCAGACCCCTTAAAAAGTTTCAGCTTTGATCTCCTTATGACATAATTTTCTTTTGTATGGAAAATTTTCTGTCAGAGGTTCCTCCATGCAAAAAAGGTTGTATGTGTATATTGGGAGGAGGGAGAGCTTAACTCATAACAATAGCAGAACTCATCAGGAGAAATTTATATATATTTTCTGAAGTTTACATGGGACTACATTCTTCATTATATCAAAGCTTGCCTTAGAGTAGTCCATGGGTTGTAGGCTGAAAAACATTGCAGTAGGGGGCTTTTTTAGCTTCTCACTTTTCATAGTTCTGAAAGAGCATCTTGGAATTAGAAAATTTTGCTTCAGTTCTCTCACATACATCTGTAACTACATGGTTCTCTGACATCTATAGTTCCCAACTACTTTCATGCTAGTTCATAACATTTGTAGTCTAATTTACTGCCATATATTAAAGTGTAGACAAAACCATGTCTGGTTTTGTAATGATTTTTTTAATTAATAAGAAAATTAAACTTTAGCAATTCCTTATTTTAATAATGTTGTTCTACAAAACAAATTTTCGATGATCAGTTCAAAAATGAAGCACAACTTATTTCTGCAGCCGCAGAGAAGTGCATCCTGGAGTCCTATTGGTTTTTTTCTTTTCTAGAAATAGCCGTCAAGATGGTGATGCTAAAGAATAATTTTTGATGGCCTCAGTCATTCGCTTACATAACTTGCAAGGTCTGTTTTGGGGTTTGTTTTTCCAGGATAAGCTAGAAGGCATTAATGTGAGATGGCTTGTACATAGAGTTGTACCTGAGACTGAACTTAAAGGCCTCGTTAAGGTTTCTCTCTAGCAAAATCCTATGTAGTGAAAATTTAATTTAGAGAAGAGAGTGTATTATTATCAAATAAAATTACTTCTGGTGGGTCACACTGCTTTTGCAAGACTTCTAACACTGAATGTTAAATGTTAAAATATTTTTTTCAAAAAAGAAAAAAGATGAAAAAAAAAAAGTTTGTGTTTCTGGAAGGAGAGCTTCTGGAGCTCTGCTTGGATAAATATTCAGAATTCTCTCTGTAAATCTTTTGTTGTCTCCAGTAGCATGGACAATGTCCCGCAACAGTTTTTTCCAAGCCTGTGGTATGTAGCGTGTTCCTGTTTGGTAAATGACAGTATATGACAAGTAGAACTGTGTTAAACAATCAGGTATAATGTCTTCAAAGAGTGGGTTTTGGGGTTTTGTTTTTTTGGGGTTTTTTTAATGTAAAGTCCTGTTTTTTTTCTTTCTTCTCCAAATAGTGATATGTGAGGGTGGATTTCTGAAGAGTCTAGATTAAGGTTCTGTAATAGCATGATAGGCATAAGTTACTAGCCAGACTAATGGATTTTGGACTTTTACTATCTCCAAAAAGGTTGTATCTTCCTCTGCTGTGTGTGAGCTGTCTGCCTACAGCTATTTCTTCCTACATATAACCACAGAATTCATGTGAAGCCTGGCATAAACTGGAAAGGATTTTATCCTAGTATATGGAATATCTAGTGGAAAGCTGCTCTCATGTTGACTGGCAAGGATTCACTTTGCGCCGCACCTTGCTCCATATGGAAGATAATCAAAACCAAATGTCCAGTAACCAGTGATTTCTATTTCTCTGGTTTAAAATGTGGTTAGCCAGCTATTTCGCTCATCAGCTTAAAATACAGCAACACTCTTGTTTCAGGGTTACAGATGTTTTTCAGTACAAGTGAACACTTAGTTAGATGCAAAGTGGATTTGTCTTTTACCAGTGTAGTATCATTATTACTTCTTGAATTTCAAGGAAAATAAGTTGTTCTTGGTCTTCATATGCTCCGGTTGGTTAATTGTTGGTACATGATGATATGATTCCCTGTGATCTTAGAGAAAATATGACAACTTACACCCTGCTTTACCAGCTAGTAATTTTAAAAATCGATTTAGATGTTTGCAAAGTAAATTCAAACAGCTTCTAAAAGATTCGTTTAATTTTTTACTTTTTTTTCTTGACCCTTTCTATCAAGAAGTAGTATTGCTTGGTTTGTCTATGTTTCTAGCTGATGTACAATCTTACACTCATGTAAAGATTATTTAATGCTGTATTTTTGTAGAAGACTGCAACTTATTTCTGCTTTATTCATATACTATGAAGCTGTGGCTAATATAGTCCCTCTTGGTATCCCTTTAGGTAAGCTGGTAAAAATAAACTGTTTTTACTATCAGAATGAATGAATCTTAACTTCTTCTTTATTACATATGTCAATTTGTTTTCAGATTATTTTTTTTTACATTTTCTTCCTTGTATAGTTATACTCAGCTTTCACTGAAAGAGCTGATTATGCCTAGGGAAAACAAGCTGTCAGCAGAAATCTATGTCATACAGGTGACACTTCTGGGAATAAGAAATTGCCTCTGGAATGAGGCAATATTTTAAAAGATTGTGTAAGGTAATAAGCAAAACGTGGTGATGAACCTGTTTTTTTTTAACTTCACAAATTAAATTAAATCCATTGCTTTTTTCAACAAATGGATTAAAAACTTCAGCATCTTTGAGTATCAGATGAGAATCTTGGCTTTCTGATTTTGTTGATCCTTTTCCAGTGGTTAGAGGTAAGAGACAAGAACGGGCTTTCCTTTACTATTCCAGTCTATCTCCTGGCATTTCACTAGTATGAGCTATGAAAAGCCGAAGCCCACTCACTTGTTTCTGTGCACCTGTGGCACTCTTGTTCCATATTGCAGTGGTACACGCTCTGGAGTTGTTTATACCTCCTTGTCAAAACTGTTCTTGTTACATTGCTATACTGTTTCTGAAACATTAAACTGACAGCAATTATTTTTTTCTCTGTTCACTGGGAAAGCTTTTAGCTAAAAGGAATTGCTGAGTAAAAAGAAAAGTGTTTTAATTCAGAATAGTAGAGAAATAAATATAAAATCCATGTGCAGAAAACTGTTGGTAACAATGTGCATATCGTGACAGCTAAATGGCTCCCCACTGCTGTGTCACATCGGGGGTTTTTTAGAAAAGAAGCAAGATTCAGCTAAATCGTACTTCTCCTTTTCAGTGGTTTCCTACTGCAAGATTCTGCTTTGATTATTCTTTGCCAGATAACTTAAACCTAAGATTTTTATTTTTTATTAAAAAATAGGGCAAAGAAAGAGACATCGTTTTCCTAAAATAAATAAATAAATATAATTTTTTTCCCCTTTTTCTTTCCCCCTTTCAGTTCAGAAAGTAGTTCTCTTTTCTGCATGCTTTACTTGAAATACTTCTGCTCCTTGTACTGGAGTACAGCTGTTTGTACTTCAGAAAAATGGTGATGTTTCACATTCTTTGGGTGAGCTGCATGGCTGAGCACAGCCCTTCCCTTGCCGATTCCTCTCCATCAACCAGCCCTGCTTGTTTTCCTGGTGAGCGAGGCCACTGCGCTGTCAGCAGGGAGGTACCGTTTTCACCCTTTGATCCCTTGCTGAGCAGGTACATCCTTTATGGAAGTATAAATTTGAGGTTATAGGATGTTACTCTGTAATTTTCTGGATGATGGCATTAGTCTTAGGAGATAAACCTCCGCTGATGACTGCCTATGAAGACAGTGGTAAGGAGAGAGGCAACAAATGCGGTTATCCCCTCAGTGAGATTTTAAAGTGGTGGGGCAGACCCACTGCTGTTCAGCTTTGGACAGTCTTCAGCACAGCCCTGCCAGGCAGCGCCTGTGCCGTGACTCTGCTGATGATGATATATCTGGCAGGCTGGCCAGCCCTCGCCTTCCTGGAGAGTATTTTCAGTTAACTGTCTCATTTGGCTTTCCCCTCTCGCCTTGTTGTCTGAGGTGATCAAAAATCCCTCTTTGCTGTTTAAACGTGCTGCCTAAGTTTCTGCGTGGTGCTTAGCTCTGTTCCTTGAGAAGCTTCATTATGTTGTACAATAACAGCTCTAAAATTCACCTTGCCTAGTCCCAGTGGGGGAAGATCCAGGTCAGTTCTGCTGCTGTGTCATTTGATAGAAGCAGCAGGTCCCTTGTCTGCCCGCTGTCCCTCAGCCTTGGCCCCACAGCAGCTCTGTGTGTGCCACACTGCCGCGCAGCCCAAGCAGCCAAGGGCCACGCAGCTCTACAGGCTTTGCAGAAGGAATGCAAGGAGGTGGAGCTTCTACTTGGACCTCGCCCAACCTGACTGCTGGAAGCCCATCTTTCTGGATAGGTCACAGAAACAAGTAGCCATATGAGCACTGAAGGCAGAGGGAGCAGGTCCTGCTTTCCTGCTGCTTGGGTGGGAGCTGTGGCAGCGCAACAGCGTCTGTGACTGGGCTTTCCTCATAGCTGGGACTTGGCACCGATGATTCATTGATGCTTGTGGAGCCAGTTTGGCCAGGAGACGTCTCAGCTTCAGTACTGGTGGCCTCTTACCTTAACAGCAGGAACCACTTCCACATATTTTAAAAGTAGTAGCCTATAAAAAAGTAGTGGTAGAAGTCTTGTTACATAATTCATGCTCACCATTTAGGTCGAGTTGCGTTATAGAAGCTGTAATATCCCAACTTGATTGAGTTCTGCAATATGTATCTAGTGTGACAGTGAATTAAGAAGATACTGTTCAGCCTGTGTGTGTAAGCAGTTGTCTCTGTTCCTGTTTCATTTCCTTCAGCATTTATTTGGATATCTGTACACAGCTCTCACTGTAGATTCGAGTTCCATCAATGCAATACATGAAGACAGTTTTCATTTTAAAACTTACCTTCAGATTGAACAATGTGGACGTGATACCTTCTAGCACCCACATTGGCTTGGTTTAGTAATGACAGTGTGCTTGGGGGATGGTGATAACTGGGGCAGGTACTTTTGTAATGGGAAGGAGGATCCGCATTACTGAGAGAAAGAAATAATGGTATCAGGAAACAGGCCAGGAGTCTGGTGCTCCTCAGCACATCTTCACTTGGTTTAATCAGTCTGAATCCAGATATTTGTGTCTCTTTATAATGCCCACCTGTATGTAAAGAGAGTGTCAGATGTTTGCTGTTGTCATGAACGCAGTAATGATAAAGAGAAGTCTAAACAGTGAATGTACAAGTTTCAACCCTATGAATGCATGTTGTGCATGTAGAAGTGGTGCTTAAGGCAGTTTCTGTCTGTTAAAATCATAAAAACCCTTGGCTTTATTTAGTTTCTATAAGAACTATTTAGGGTTTTTTTTTAAAAAATGATATTCACTAGTTGGGAATTGTGAATTGTTGGATTTAGAGCTCGTGGTATGATCTTAAATGGCTTCTGTTCTGTACATCCTGATAAAGACTTTGATTACCCCATGCTTTTTCTAGACAGATGGTTTTTTTAGGAAGCTTCTGGCTGCTTTGGCAAATAACTTTGTGTTTTATGGCTGGATTTTTCAGTTATGTGGGGAAAAATCTTTCCCTCTAGAGTGTGCCACTAATCATATGAAAAAAGTTCTGTTGCTTACAGCTTTGAATTCTTCAATAATTATTATGTGGTTGACTTTACCTGAAAATTTGAGCATTGTTTCTCTGATGTTACATACTTCATAAGAGAAAATTGAGCTGTGACCATGGCAAGACTGCAAGAGGAAAGAGTTGCATGTCTGCTTTTGGCATAGCGATACTGTATATGACTGAATCACTTTTCTTAAAACATCAGCTTTTCACTGAGATCTTTATTTGAATGTTGTCTGTTTCTTTAACTTGAGTCTTGAATTTAATTTCAAAAAGTAATCTTGCGGCTCCCAATGAAATAAATTGGAGTAGTACTTACTGAACAAGGTGTTAGGTGTTTTGAAAAGTCAGCTCTGAAGACTTTTATGCTATGCGTGCAAAATTGATGTTTACTTTTGGACTTAACCACTCTAAATGTGGTTCCCCTCATATAAAATCTGGTTTATTTTCACAGGAGTCCGTTTTGCAAAGACACTGTAAAAAGAAGAGTTTGTACTATGCTGCTAAGTGCTATAAAACAGCCTAGAGAGAATTATTAAATCAGATTAGTGTCTGGAAAAAAATGCAGTAGATAAGACCAGAACCTTCAAACAAACAGTGAGTTTTAAAACTAAATACTCCATAGAGACTTGTTGAGGCACAACAGTCCATTTCATTGCCTGGATGACAAAGCGTAGTCATGGAGGAAAAAATTGTGGTTAAATATAAAATGAATGCTATCCTGTACTTTATGTCCATAAAACAGACGAGTTAGGGTTGCTGGTCACTTTAGTTTTGTTACCGTGTAACTCAGCTAGAGTTGGCAGACTTGGTGTTTTCTATGGCTTTTCAAGTGAGTGTGGATGCTTTAATCGGTCTCAGTCCAGGTGTTCTTATTTCCATCTAGTGCTGGCCTGTACGTAGAGAGGGTGTCACAAGACTTTCAAGGGACAGCTTAGGCTCAAATGTACAAAAAAAGAAACTCATTAATAGATTCTTTATTTTTTTTCACACAATGCAGAACTGGTGGGAGGTTGTTAAATACTTTCTGTGTTGTTAGTTATGACAGAATTTAACTGACAAGTAATGAAGTGCCTTCTAACTGACAGTTATGGGGGTATTTTTACAGCCATATGGAATTTGTTCTTTGTTAATGTGACAACAGCTCTAGATGTAATTTAAAAAAGAGAGGAAAGATACTAAGTTACTTATTATAGTTCCTACATGTCCAATTGTGTTAGGAACATGTTCTATTTATTTTGGGTTCTGTCACAGAGTAATTTCTTTGCACATTTTTCTGATGAAAAGGTGAATGTGCGCTTCAACAGACGTGAAATTGTCAAAAATTACTAATGGTTTTGTTTGTTTGTTTTGGTTTTTTTACCCTGAAATAAAAATTGCCAAGGACAGATCAAAACCTTATGCTGGTTACCGAATGTCTTGAATATTTTTTTTAATTAACAGTTTAATTCTGAAGTGTGAATATTATACCTGCAGTAGCCTGAACTATACTAGCTTTGTTTTAACTTTGCTAGGTAATGCATTCCTTAGTAAATGGTGTATTAAGTGGGTATGTACTGAAGTTAATGGCTAGAACAGGAGATATATAGAGAAGTGTTTGGCCATATTAACAAACCTTAAAATACTAAAAAAGGGAAAAGGAGGTAGCGTATCTGGGGCAGTTACAGGTTTCTGTAAACTGGGAACAGAACTGCTTGAAACCTGTTGCAGAACAGTTTGTATCTGTTTGGTTTCTTGCGAGTGCTCACCTGCATGTCCAAGCAAAGGTCCCTGGCCCTTGTGGAAAGGGGGGAGCCCTGCACTGCTCCTCATCCGCTGCAGACAGGGTTGAAGCACTGCCTTTGGGAAACAAGGGTGAATTTCTTACAATGTCTGCTCACTGAACTTGCTGTAATGCTGCAGTTTTTTTCAGATTTACTGACATACTCTTTTCGTGCTTGTTGATCTGCTTAGACACAGACTTTTAGAAAATGCAGTAAAATTTCAATATTGCAGAACACTTACTTAGCCTTTGATGTATAGTTTCTGAAATGAGATATTTTGACTTTCTCAAAGCCAGTCAACTCTTCGGAATTTTTTCTGATTTTTTTTTTTTTTTTTTTTTCCCCCCCCTCCATTAAGATCGCGCTGGAAGCATCAGTACTCTTGATTCCTTAGACTTTGCAAGATACTCTGATGATGGCAATAGGGAAACGGACGAAAGAGTAGCAGGTAAGACTTTGTATGATTTAGGAATCATAGAATGCTAACTTTACCATTTAATGTGTTGTTTCTAGAAGCAGTAAATTTAAATGAATATTCCTGAAGATGACAAGACTTCACTGTTAGTTTAACTAGTCACTTAATGATATAGTTGTTTCAGACACTTTTACTATAATTACTGTAAATATTCAGGCAGGTGTACTTCTGTATGATTTGAGATGTCACCAGGGTAGAAGCAAGCAGTATACTTGAAAATGGTGCCCAGTTTTTGACAATAGAACAGTATCTTGATATTGCCTTCTGACTGCTACTGTTCAGCTGAAACATATGCTAAAATATTCTATGTAGTAGTCCATGACTACAACATGGCTGGTAGCTTTCTGATGTAAAGATCTGTAGCAAGTCATCTCTTAAATATAGCTTACATGTAGATCAAACAAGCATTACCCAATCCAGAGTAAATTTGGGATTTTCTCGGTTCCATAAATGTTCTTTGCTACAAATCTTAATTGTAGTGCTTTTCTTTTCTCCCATTTGACTTCTTGATTTTATAAGATTGTTTCAAAGAAGTGATAGGGATTTTTGCCTCTTCCAGTTGTTCTGAACTTAGGAGTGTGGCATTTTTAATTTCAAGGTTTATGATGATCTTGCCAAAGGCAGAGACTGCGTTTTGCTTAGTATGAGCCATGTTACACTAATCCAGGCTTTTTGTGAAGTTCAGATACTAAGTTATTCACAGCTTCTATAGAGAAACCCATAAAATCTTTCTAGAAACTACTGCAGAGCTCTGCTTACATCTTGTCAATGAATACTGTTTAATATCATAGGCATATGAAGATTGTCCATGCTGTGACCTTTGCTCACGTAGTTTTAAAGCTAAACTGAAACCTGAAATGATGCAAGTGGCTATGTTTCTGTTCCATGCTGTTGTCTCTGCTCTGAACCACCACGCTTCATCCTAGCAGGAATACTGTCACATTCATAAGCAAAGAAAAAGCTGCTGAAACATAGTTCTGTAAAGGCTCTTGATTCTGAAATTTCCTCTCCTGGTCAGTCTGAAATGGCAACCAGTATTGACCCAAAGTGAAGGAACAAAAGTGTTGGGAAAATCTAATTTTTCTTACCCAGTCAGTTTTGCTGAGGTAAAGGACTGGATGAAATTCATCACCATGAAACAGATTCAGGTATTTTGATGCTCTGATCTGGAACTATAGGTACTTGCTATTCTTTGATTTATATGGAAATGTCCAGATTCTTATTACTATTTAATTATTGTCTTTTGCAATATATGTAGGCAGTTTCAGGGAGCGAAAAGTTGTAAATACACAGCTAATCTAAACAAAATGTGTTTAAGAAACCCAAGTGTGTCTGAATTGTGTCCTGGAATACAAGGAAGAAGCAAGCAAATTATGAATATTTTAATTTTTTCATCATCTTCATATATTTTTCCTATTTCTGTACAATATTTCTTAGCAATACTATTATTGAGAGAGCTAGTTTGATCTTTGCTTGGAGCTGTAACTGAAATGGATTAGAGATGCTTATAGAAAATAAAGACCAGTCAGAATTGGCATCCAGTGGAACCATTAATCTTCTGATGGAATGTTAATGACAAAATAGTGATTACTTCCAGTATGAAATTAATATATCCTAAAATTAAATATTAAATTTAATTATGTACATCCTAAAATAGAAGATACTTTTTAAGATTACAGTATATTAATGTACCACTGTCACATAATAGAACAGCAAATTATATGTCAGGATATTTACATTACATTCCTGTGTTCCTTTAGAGAGGTTCTCCCCGAGTTATTAAAAAGTGACGTGAGAACTTGAATAAAGCATGATCAGATATTATTTCTGGATGTTTGTCAAGACTTGAAGCTTTCAAAAATATCCCATTTCTACTTAAAAGTCTTGTTCAGTTATAATTGCTTAAAATCTTTTGCTTCAGTTCTGTTTAAAACCATCTATCTAAGCAATAAACTTCGGAAAACTTGTAAGTATTTAATCTGCACATTTAAAAAATTATGTCAGCAGAGATTTTAAGAACTTTCATATCCAGTTCCTTTTTTGAACAAACTCTGGCTTGTGACTTCTGCTTTTGTAGTAGTTCTGAGCTGCAAATACACTTCAAAACATAAGTAGAAGTCCATTCTGCTTATTTCTTCTCATTCATTCTTCTCAGCAAAGACCTTTGATGGTTAGGACATAAAATTGTAATCTGTTGCAAAAGCTTGAGGCCCTGATCTGATAGTCATATTTTTCTTTTGATAGTTTTCAAAGTGAGATTTGAATAATTTCTTTTTGTAAATGCCTTTCTCATGTTGTTATCTTTGGTTTTTACTGTTTGGACAGAACCCAAGATTTCCATATCAATTCCCTAGTCAAATATCAAATGAAGGATAGGAAATAAATGCACATCAGTCACTGAAGGAAACTGGTCTCAGGTCAAAAGGACTTTAAAACCAAAGTTTTAACATATCTAGTTACAAATACTTCTGTACTGTGGCAGTGTTAGAAAGCACCAGATTAAAAAATATGCATGTATACCATCCATAACCATTATATTTCTGTTTTGCTATTATTGATGGTGTTAGCCATAGCTGCCATATTTTTTTTAACCAATCCAAAATTTCCTAGAAATCACTAGAAAGACTCTTGTGTGAAATGGATTTAAGTATTTCAAATCTGTTAGCCCAATTCATTCTATCTGGGAGTAGAATCAAAATTTGGCCTAGAAGCAAACATGTTTTGAAGAATTGGTGTGAACTTGCCACTTGAGAAATCTGATTGAGGGAAGCTAAGTGAGTCTCTTCTATAATATTATCAGCTTGACTGAAAAGTTGCAATTCACAAAAGCCAATCAGGTTGTGGAAGAGCATAAGAAAACAAAATGCAATTTAGAAAACATCAATTTTCTTCCTTATCTACCTGATTGTAACATAAATAAACAAATTGGTGAATACATTTGTAATTCACAGAGAGTTTCAAAAAATATATGCATCCTTTGTGCTTGAAATGTACTAGATGGAAACAACTTGTTCTCCAAGACTAATAAGTCTTGAATCTAAATTAATGTATTGAGTGCTGAAACCTGTTCCTTTCCTGTGGCATAAGAGTACACCTAACTTGAAGTCAAACACTCACAGCATTTGGTGTAAATAGGTCATCTGACATTCAATCTAAGGAACTGAATCTTCTGCCACATCTTAAATTGACCATGTGCACAAGTATGTTTGTGATCTAAAAACCCTACTTTCCGTAATTCAGAATATTTGGTACTACTAACCTGCCTTTGACATCTACTGTTCTGAGAATCTCAGAATTTTAGAAACACAGTGCTGTGTTTTCAATGATAATAAAATTAATTCTCATAATCAAACACCATTTCAATCTCACATGTTCTCTCCCTGCATTAGTATTGATTTCTGGTTCTGCTGTGTATTTTTGATTAGAAGAATAAAATACTGTCTCTGTCAGGATTTGAAGGGAAGAGACAGTTCAAAAAGCAGTTTTTGAGGATGTCATTTATCTAGGCTTAGGTTCACAGTTTCTGCTTTTTACAGAGCTTTTTTGTTTATGCTTTGTAGTAATTACTATTACTTGTGTGCAATCAAAATCAGAGGAGAATCTTTTAAAAAAATAAAGCAAAACACAAAAGGCATCAGTAATACAACAGTCATTTCTAACAATATGTGTTCAATTTGTTCATCCTGGAAGTGAGTCTAGTTTTGTCTTCCTGGTTCCCGTATTAAGCCCTGTTAAGCAGTTATAAGCCTCTTTAATTTCCATCCATGTTGATATCTCCAAGGGTTGAACCTGAAGCCAAGTTTACTGTAGTTCAGGTATTCTCTGTAGCTGGTCCTGTCTCTTTAACTTAAAAGCATCAATGAGTCTAATGAGTCGAGTGTTGGCTTCCCACTATTGGAATGATAACAAGTTCTCTATCAGCTTCCTTATGAACTCTTATGCTGATCATAATTTTTGTAGCTTGATACTCATCTCTCATGCTGCAGTACAACTTTCTGATTCAGGTCTCTGTGTTATGCCTTGAAGTGTTTCTCAGTGATTATAAATATATTCACTTCTTTTTTTCCTTAGGACTTGCATCAGGGAAGTGGGAATTAGGAAACATCGCGTCTTGAAGTATATTGTGATAACTATAGTCAGAGAATTTAAATTTCTTCTGATTGGTTCAAAATGTGTATGCACATATCCATCAAGTGTAATGGGATGTCAGACATGGTTTAGAAGGCATAATTTAGGAGATGGAGTTCTACATTTACTTTAGAAGGAGGAATAACCTGAAATTACAGTTAAACAAACAACGACAAAATTTATAACAGCATGTCCAAATTTGAGGAAAGCTAGGTAAGCACAGGGCCCTTGATGCTTCAGTGCAGAACTGCTTTTAAAAGAAAATGCCACATAGTAGCTTCACAACATAAAACTACCTTTCTACTGTTGTCAAAAGTACTTCATACTGAAGGATGCAAAAGCCTGACAACATAATTAATATGTAGAATGTAAAATTCTAGTATAATTGGAAAAAAATACTGCTTATACAAAAATCTAAGTACTAAAAATTTTTAGAAGTTCTGTTTATTTCTTTAACTTTTTGTCTTTGGCTCAACAAGACTGCTCTTCAGGTATTTCTCAACTTGTTCAATATCCCAAATCACAGGTTATTCTTTATAGCTACCTTCTCAATCTATGGTTCAGTAAATTATGAAGTCATTAACAAATGTGGATGAAGAGAATACAATCCTTGGGAAAGCTTTATTTTTAAATTTTTAAGCTGAGCAGACAAGTTACCCACTTCTGATATGTACTTCTTTTTTAAGGTGTATTAGTTGAGCTGCGTGAAAACTGAAGCATTTAAAAATTGCTGATCTGAAAATCTTGGTCTAATGCACAGTTACTTGCTTGAAAGATTCAGCTCTTTTCACAGAATCACAGAATGTCAGGGACTGGAAGGGACCTTGAAAGATCATCTAGTCCAACCCCCCTGCCAGAGCAGGATCACCTGCTGTAGGTCACACAGGAACACATCCACAGGAGGCAGGTTTTGAACATTTCCAGAGAAGGAGACTCCACAACCTCTCTAGGCAGCCTGTTCCAGTGTCCTGCCACTCTCAGGCCACTAAGAGTGACAGTAATTTTAAGTAAGTCTAATTTTTTTCTTTTTTTCCAGAATAGTAGCTGTAGTGATTTGAGTTTTTTATAAAAAGAAAAAGCAAGAGAGCCGCTTAAATTTGGAAAGAACAATTTTCTTCTCTAAGGCAAAACAGATTGTTCAGAAGTGCCCTTTTCTTGTAGGAAAATGAACCAGTCTCAGAACTCTGAATTTCTTCCCTCTGCTTTCCTGATGTAGAGGAGCATCAGCTTGGTTCTTTCCTTTCCTAGCCTGTCTGCAGCAATGCTCTTCTGTGCATTGTTCTTGAGGAGTGTCAGCTCCTTTCACCAAGTACTGTAACGAGTTCTACATGTTATCAGTTCAGTCAAGCACAAAGTTAAACTTCAGCTGGCTTTGTCAACACATTTGAGGGGTTAACTTCTCTGAGGTACATAAGCTTTACAGCAGAAGGAGAGGGGAGAGAGAGATCAGGTAATTTATTTTAAAAGTCAGTACTTGACAATGGTTACAAAGAAAGGGGTTAGATATTGTGCTTTTTTTTTTTCTTTTTTTTCTTTTTTTTAATTTAAGACAATGTCTTACCATCTGCAAATGGGGATTTCCAGTGTTGATTTCATTAGTACACGTCTTGAGTTTAAAATCATTCCGTATTTTGGTAGAAGATTGCATTTCACTATAGCTTCTAAAATAAAGAGCTTTTAATCATAATTTAAAATTTGAGTGAAATTCTATTGTAGCCTTTTACAAATGGTTATGCTTATGGAAAAAAAAACCTAAAAACTTCAAATAAAAGCTAAATTTGTGACTTAGATGCATCAAGGTTTGTATGGTGGCAATTATAATGATGGCATTAGTAAGACGAGGAAATGAGGTACAACCGTAATAATGCTGTAGAGTTGTTGAATTACGTGGCTGTTGTGACATGCTGCGAAGTGACAACTTCTCAGATATACTATGTCCAGAATCTTCCACTGTATACAGAGAAACATGCAGCAGAGTAATCTATTTTTAAGGTTGAATGAGTAAAGTCCTAATGGCTTCTAAGAATTTTCAGCATCATCACAGTTCACTAAAAATTAATTCTTGCCGTCTGACATGGGTTTGTCTGACATGAGTTTTTTGGCTTTCTATGCCTTCAGACATGTCTTATTCCTATTTTCCTTAATGGGATTCCTCAGTTTTTCTAGTTTGTGTTGTTTTACTAACTTTTTATTATTATTATTTATATCATTCTAGTGTAGGGCACTCCTGATCTGCAACTGTTCTGGTCTTTAGAAATATTTTGTGAGAATAAAATGTTAACACATAGTCATTTCCATCAGAAGAATTACTTAATTTGAATTCTTTACAATTTTCAAAAACTAACAAATTAGTAGCTTCCAACTTAGACTCGTAACTGTTAATTAGTAACTCAAATGCAAGGAAGTGCTAAAATTATTAGATACTTTTTACTACGAGAGGATTTTTTAACTTTGTTGCACAGAAGTATTTGCAGATCAGCATTGCTGAATACTAGAGAGATATTACATATTTTATTCATCATATCCTCAGTTGTGCTTTTCTATCACTGCAGTAGAATTCTGTGCATCAAACAAGTTACTTTCATGTAGCAAATGTGGTGTACTATAGTTACTCCTTCAGTTTTGATGGATAAATGCAAACTGAGTGAATCTTTTTTTCCATGTGTGCTAATTATCAAAAGATTCTTAGTAACAGATGTTCAAAAGAGGAAACTGTTTCATTTGTAGTCTTCAGTAGCATTTCTTACAAGGAAGAGCCAGTGCAGTAGTTCTGCCATGCCTTGTCCTCTCTGATTTCAAAATACCATGTTAAATTGTTTCCAGGCACTGATTAACAATCTCATTAATATTTTCTTGTCAAAAGCAGCTACAACATTTTTTCGTTTTGGATGGAAATCAAGTAAAAGATAATCTATTTAGAATATTTTAGCACTTCAGTATGGCAGCTGTTCTGTGCTCATCTCTTCTAGTTAAGTACAAGAATCATTCTTTCTGGGAACTGGATGTTTAAGTGTGATTAGATTAATCTGAGAATTAATGAAATGCATGTAATTATCTGGTAGTTCCTTAAATAGGTTCCCTTAGGTGCTCTTAACTGTAAATGGCTATAAAAAGAACATTCATTATATGTTTTGCAAAGATACAAGGTGTTAAAATTTGAAGCCACAGTTTATATATGACCTCAACATCAAAACACATGAAATTCCAGTGCAAACAAAGCACTACTGTCCCTTTTTGGAGGAAACATTGGGACATGAAAAACATGTAATAGTGACCAGGGTACTGGGGAGGTGGAACAGGTCATAACAGTAGCTAGAAATACATATTTTTGAATCCTTAAAGCTGAATCTAGATCACTGAAAGTGTTGTGTAGTCTAGAGTCACTGGAAACTTTTAAGAATAATGGAGCAAAGACATTTTCATTGCAAGCTTCTCTCTAAGTACTATGAGAACTGCATATTTTGCTCTTTTTTTTGGTCTTGTGCATCTCTTAAATATATTCAACTAAATTCAAAATCTTAATCAACTTTAGAGTATTCCTAAAAATCTGGTACTTTTAAATAGCGATTTTAAAGGAGATTATTTTTAGTAGTAAAATAAAGTATGTTTTAAGTTCTGCCATCTAAACTACTGAAATTTCAGTGTAGAATTTTATTTTGAAAAAAATATGTAGTCTCAATGGGACAGTACATTCACTGCATGGTTTAAGCTTTTGCTACATGAAGACAGCTTCTTCTGCTGCCAGCATGCATTTACTTCCTTTAGATCTGTACTCTGATTGCCCACATACTCCCTTGCCCCCAAAAATCAAAACATTTGATGGTATCAGCTGATTGTAAGAGTGGGGAAGAAATTACAAGTTTTTCCCAGTAATATGCAAACTTAAAAGCCAGCAAAAAAAACCCCCAACAACAACAACAAAAAAACAAAACCCACAAAAAACAAAACCCTACAGCGAGTCCTTGTCAGACAGCCTGAAATTTTGATTTAGCTAACTTAAGGCCAATGAAACTATGGAAAATGTTCACCAGTTTGCTTTCAGACCAACTCTGCTGCATGTGTTCATAAGTTCCATAAAGATTGCATGCTTTCTGTTTAATACAAACTGTATATTTTTTTTCACACCCATCCTTGCTTTTTATATTTTATTTTTGTTTCTCTTGCCTTGGTTGGATGCCTGTGTGTGTTTAATCCAAATCCCTGTCCAGTCCTGGAGTTTGAACTACGGAAAGCCAAGGAGACCATACAGGCCCTCCGAGCCAACCTGACTCAGGCTGCAGGTGGTGTACATAAACCTTTTCTTAAGTCTCTACTTTGAACAATGTAGAAGTAGCTGAGCTCATTCTGTGTGAAAGAGTAATATTTAGTTAATTTTTTTTCCTCCCCAGAAAATGAAGTTCCTTTGCAGGAACGAAAAAATTATAAATCAAGTCCTGAAATTCAGGTAGGTAGCTGGTGATAACTGGGCTTTGCATGGACTTTAAGACAGATATGCTTCCGTAGCTGGAAGAAAGATGAACCAAAGATGTAGTGTATTTTTTTCTTTTTTCCAGGAGCCAATCAGACCTCTTGAGAAAAGAGCTCTAAACTTCCTAGTTAATGAATTTTTATTGAAGAATAGTTACAAGCTTACATCAATAACATTTTCAGATGAAAATCATGATCAGGTAAAGTTTTCTTGTGATTTTTTTTAACATACCTGCTTTCCATATTCTGATCTTGTCATAAACTCAAGTGAACTTAAATGATATTTCCTCTGCATGTAGTTCAGTTCATAATATGTGTTTTCTGAGATTTAAATATGTTAGTTAGCATTTTCATATATAAAGCATGGTTTGAAAGCACAGCACTTTGAGGAGTATTTTCTCAAAATTTATAGGAAAGAGACAGAATGGTTGCATTCTTTAAAGGAAGCAAAACAAGAAGAAAAATACTGTGAGTTATAGGTACTTATACACTTTCTTGGATTCTGATGGACCCCCTTTCAGGTAAACGCAGGGATCTGGATATAGTAAAATTCTGAACATACTCAATTGATTTGTGCAGGATATACAATATACTCATTGTTTGTCATCTCAAAATTACACCTGTACTTGTGAATGGGATGGGAACAAAATGATACCCCTATCAGTATAAAGCATTCTATCAAGTACACTGGCTTCTGCTAGAATTTGATCAACATTATATCTGATTCTAAAAAGTGTTCACGTCCTAGAAACAAAATAAATTGTGATCTATGTGTTTTTGGAAGGTCCTCTCTTTAGTACATCACCTAGAGCTGCCTTTAGGATGAAACTACTTTGGGTCATAAAATGGATCCTCTTTCTGCTTTTGTTTCTTACTATCTGATTTAAGCTTTCATCTTCTTTTCTACAATGCAATCTTGACATGATTATTTTGCTGTTATATGATCTGCAGTCAAATGAGGAAGAGAAATGAAAATAAAAGGAAGTATATTGTATGCTTTAGTTTCTTTTATTCCTTTGAAGGATTTTGAGCTTTGGGATGATGTAGGATTGAACATTCCGAAACCTCCTGACCTGTTACAACTCTATCGTGACTTTGGAAACCATCATGTTACTGCAAGAGATGTGGTGGATGTATCAGTTGGTGTAGAAGACGATGACTTAGAGGCTGCTACTCCTATACTTGGGAGCGTCCCTGTATTTGAAACAGCACCACAGTCAATAGAAGTAAGAGACTGTACAGCAGAAATGTTTCAGCTCTTTGCAGTACTACTTAAATTTGTTGTACTAAACTATCTTGTTTCTATCTTGTATTTAGCAATGTTTAATAGTGCAAAAATTAGAAGATCAAATTAGTGTGTTAAACAGTGAGAAATGGTCTTTGATGGAACAAATCCAAAGGCTTGAGAGGTATGTACTTACCAATCTGCTCGAGTGCTGATAAATGATGAAATAACTTCTTAATGTTTTTCCAGCATGTATTTTAAAACATACAACTTACACTTATTACTAGAGTTCTTCAGAGCAGGACAATCTTTCCTTTTTAGTATGTGATATTTGATTTAGAAAAAGGAAGAGGCTTCAAACTGACTATTTCCCTTTTATTACCTACTTCATTTGATTTTGTAATCAGTTTTGTTCTTTCAATGCAACTTCTTTGAAAACAGAATCAGTTTGGATGTGTTCTGTGTAGGTTTTTTCTTCAGTCTGCTTTATTTCACTCCTTAATACTATGATGCGTACAGCTTGCAAACACTGTTAGAAAGATGGTTGTTTTAATAACTTATTTCAACACAGTTTTTCTTTCTACAGAGCAAGACTAGTAGAAATGACAGTATCTTTAACAACAACAACAACAAAAAAAGATACTTTTAAACTCTGGTCAAAACATATAATTCTGTAAGCTATAAGATATCATTCCTCTTAAGAGATGCACCACTACAACATATGGGCAAGTGCATAATTTTTAAGTGGCTTTATTGACTTGCATAGTTACCATTTCAAAGCCAGGTGGGATAGTATATGTTAGTTTGCCACTGTAGTATTTTAAGTTTTGCATCCCAGATAGAGTTCTGTCTCTTGACAGCTTGTGTCTCAGTGCTCGGGTTTCATACAGAAGCAGGTAACACTATTGTTATTCACTAATTTCACTGATTCACTTGCTCGAAGTGCAACATTTTTCCTACTGCTAATTACTGACTAAAGAACTCTGTTCAGTCAGTGCTGATTATTGACTAAAAAACTCTTTCAGTGCTTGTTTGAACAGCTGGTATGATATGTTATTTCTATTAAAGGACTTCTTGAACATTCCGGAGCTGAAGAGGGAGCTATTCAGTATGTTGTCCTTATTTCTGTGCTTCAGTCTTGTGGTTCCAACAACCTTCTCATGAAAGCTACAGAAATATTTCATTCTTTGCTTTTCCTTTTTTAGTGAAATAGATTTTCTCAAGAATGAAAACTTTGCTGTGCCAACAGTTTATGGTGTAGCTCCCCATCCTTCTTTAAAACAAGTGCCTCTCACAGTCTCAGAGGACAATGGACGGTACTTGGATATCAAGAGCTCTGAGAATGACAATAAACATGGAAACACTGAGGAAACAAGCATCTCTTTATCAGCTGAAGTGGATTCAAGGACTTCTAAAGATGATACGCTAAATTCTGTGCCCTGTAAAGAAACAGAGAAACTGTCCTCTTGTTCTTCATCAACTAAAGCTGCAGTTCACTTCGATAAACCTAATAGGTTAGTGATAAGTTTCAAACTGTCAATTTAAAAATTATTGTAAAGTGGGTAGGTATTTTTTTAAACAGTAAAATTCAGAGAATTCATAGATCACTTGTGTTTTGAGTGCAAATAAAACATACCTTTAGGGTGCAGTGCTGATACTTTCATATTGTTCTTAATCTTTTTAGGGAGGAGTACATTTGACAAACGAAGTTTTAATATTAAGTTTAAGGGTTCCTTTCACCTCCTACTTGTTTCTAACACCAATCCTGTTCCTTACAACAACAACAACAAAAAAAGCTACAATCAAAATGGTGAATGGGAAGACTGGATATTTCCATTCTCTTAAATTTTGTATTTGGGGCAAGTCTTCACTAACTCTGATTCTAATGAAAATAGGGTGTTCATGTTGTGTTATTACATGGAGATTGAGTTTGTATGTGAGTGTTCTTGAGCAAGTCTTTCCAATCTACACAGTCTTTTTAAGCATTATAGTGAAGAGGGGAAGTAACAAGTTGATGAATACATAAACCACTGTGTAGTCGTCAAGAGTAACACAGGCCACAAACTTAATGAGAGTATGTACAACTTCTAAACTACCATGGTGGAGAAAGATGCCCAAGTAGCTCACCTTATAGTCTTACTGTTGCTATTCCTAGGGGTGCAGGTAGCCATTCTGCTTTGTATGTTGTCAGTTCCTTCAGTGTTCTTTTGCTGGTGTTGATATAGTAATATGTTTCTAGAATTATCTTCCATCTGCGAATACCAGGTAGAAATCTGTGTGATATTGTGTGCAGATGGAAAATCAACACAAGCTGGATGAGGAGGGAGAAGAAGAAGGAAAAAAGGAGTTGCTGTCTGCTAGTAATCAACTTTTCATGCAAACGCCAAGTATCCTGTTTTTTCTGGATTTCCTGACTTTCTTGCACTTTCTTGCACTTTTTCAGTCATATCTTAACTTTAGAAAAGAATAAGAGGAAAAAATTCTAATTTCTGAAGACAGAACCTCAGAGTCTTACTACAAATTTCTTCTAGTTAAATTTACTAGTGTTTAACAGGAAAGTAAAAGTCCATTTTAGGTTTTTTATAAAATTTGCAGTGATTCTTTTAAGCTTTCCAGATTTTGGGGTGGGTTTTTTATTTATTTCATATCCTAGATGAATATCTAGACTATGTAATAATCAAAGCTTAAAGCTGTCATATATTGATTGCTATAAACTTGTCTACTTACTTTCATCTGTAGCTTGTTGCAAATTTCTTTTGGGGTAATTGGGAGTGCTGGGAGGCATGAAGTGCATGAGTATTAGATTGGTGGTTTGAGGATAGTGAGGATGGGTGTCAAAATACAATGATATCACTGAGTGAGGGAGAAACTGTGAGTATCTCCAGTGGGATTTATGACAATAGTCTCTAGGAAAACAGATTTTGTTTTGCAGCTCATGTCTCTTTTAAATATAACTGCACATGGATTTATTTAAAAAGTATTTGAATAAAGCCTTGAATCCCCATTGAGTTAACTTCAGAAGTTCCCTCACATGCTGTTCACTGCAGAAATACGTACTGCATATGTAATATGTAGCTATTTTTATACTGAGTTTTGGGCTTAACAGGTCAGTGGAGGGTCAAAGGAAACCATATTTGATAGTGTTTTATAGATCCATATCACTAAATTTTCTTCGTGGTTTATGCACTTGGTTTGTAATAATTAAATATTTTTTTCATTAAGAATTATATTCTTTGTTAAGTATTTTGAGATCTGTGGGAGAAGAAGCACTATAGAAGTGCTGGATATTTATCTCAGTCCAGGGGTGGTTATTTGTAGAAGACAGTTACTACAATTTATTCAGAATACATTAAGAGGTATTAAAGACTAAGACTCTATCCTAAAAGGCTAGATTGTTACTACTGTAGCTAAGGATTCGATTTTTGGCATAAATCTTGCCCAGATGGGAAAAGAGGATGGAGGAGCAAGTGAGCCTGCCTTGTGTGACTGCGCTCAGAGCAGCTGTGTGTGCCTGTCTGCGCACGAGGACGTGGCCATCGTTGGAAAAATGCCTTGTCTAACAGATTGCGGTAGAAAGCACTAGTAGCAGTTTAAATAGTCTGTACCACATGTATTTATTCAACTTATTTTAGGTGTTTGGTAGTTTACACCAAACACAAGGTGTTTTTTGTATATAGCAGTCAGTCCTGACTTTTTCAGTAAATTGACTTTTTTGTCCAAGTGTTTTATGGAATAGAGTAGTAGTGCTTGGGTTTTTGTATTCGTCGTCTTATATTTGAACATCTTCACTACTGGCATCTGTTTGTCCTTGAAAAGGCTTTCCACTGACTTGTGTGCAAGAGGCCTGGGTTTGTCATCGTTTCTGTCCAGTATCGCCATCAAGGGTTTTTTTAGACTTCATGAAGGAGAACCTTTCTTGACTCTGAATACTCATAATGAGATCTGTGCTGCCCAGAGCTTGCTGATAAGTAACCCGCAGGGAAATTCGGGGGCATACTGTCATAGTTAGCTTTCAGTCTCTGCAGAGTGGGGATAGAACTTTGCCCTTATGTAGGATTTTAATTAAGGCTTCAAGTGGGGAAGGAGCTGACATTCTGTGGAATAAATGCCGAGGTGAAGGGCAGCCCAGGCAAAGGGCTGGCCGAGGTCTTGCCACTCTTAATGTCAAGCTGCTGCTTTGCAACGCTTGCTCCTGATAAAGCCTTGAGTAGAGCCTGTAAATCTGTCATTCAAAAATACTTTTACAGGGTAAGGACTAACATATTGTAAAGACAGAGCTCCTTTACAACTTGCTACCATCCAAGCCATTTAGTAATTTTTTTAAAGTGAACCCTTGCACAAAACCAAGCTGATTGGAATTAAAACACATTTACTTCATTAAAATTTAAATCATGCTTTAAAACCCCATACTGTCAAGAAAGAAACTTGATTTTAAGTAATAGACATCAATTTTTACTGTATTTTGTAAATAGTCAGAAGAAAACTACTCTGGTGTGTTTATTCGTATGATCTTGGATTAAACAATTATAAGTGGGAACTTATATTCCTACCGTGGTTTGGTTTTTTTGTTAGAAAAGGGTGGGTGATGATGTATTTACTGTAAATAGTGTGATGTTTCAATCTGATAGAGAGATATATATATATATGTCCATACACGTAATTGCACGTGTGTAGGATTTTGTGCACCTTGGTGATTTGTGATTTTGTGCACCTTGGTGCACAAAATAGCATTTTTAAGGGTTGAAAGGTGATATCACTGTCCACAGAAGAAATGGGAATTGCCTCCTCCCTTAAACTCATATAGTGTCATTAGAGGATTCAAACAGCAGTGGTGATTTGATGATACAGGGTGAGATGCTTTCTGTGCATCTTTTAGAAGACGAATGTTCTTTTCCTTCTTTAAGCATAGTGGATGAGACAGTGTTAGTTTAGCATCTAAATACAGGCAGAGGGAGTTGTCATTGCTGGGAAAAATAGGGTGCTGCTGCTGATGCTGCTGCTTGCCTGTTTTCTGTAATGGTCAGTCCAGTAATTGTTTTCTGAGAACATATCTGCCAAATCATCCTCCTCGAACAAGGTTGTTTTGAGACTCTTACCAGGGTTTCACGTATATGCTTAAGGCTTTGATTCGCTGGGCTGTGTTGGCTGGTGCTGTGCGTGGCCATGAGGCAGTACTTCTGTAGATACACATCTACATCGGGGATTAGGCAGCAATTTAAGGTTAGTTTTGAGGTTTTTGCTATACATTTGAATCTAAACAGCGTTTCGATTCTAAAGTGGCAGTTGAGAAATCTCTGTTTAATCCTGAGGCTTGTACATGACTGACTACTCACATGTTTTTATGCAATGTGCAGAATCAGAGCACTAAGCAAAAGTACTGTTTCTTGTGATTTCCGCCCCTTCCCCCTCAGTTTGCATAATTGTATGCTTCCTTTTGTATTGCTAAATCTTCCTTTTCTTTATGCTTTAGAACTATTTTTGTCTGTGCAGCAGTTTGAAAGATGTTACATTTTTCGGAACTAAAAGTGACTTCTTAATTAGGACACCCACTTTTTTTTCTTGCTACAAACTAAACACCCTAAAAGTCAAAGATAATTATAAGCAAAAAATTCTGCAGTATGCTTCTCTTAAAGCATGATTTCTGAATGTCATTTTTTTTACCTAGCTAGTTAAACCAGAGTGAAAAGACTTGTTCAGTCACATTTCTGATCTATGCTTTCTCTCCCCACCCCCCCACCCCTTTTTGACAATATTTCAGGAAATTGTCACCAGCTTTCCATCAAGCACTACTGTCTTTCTGTCGGATGTCAGCAGACAGCCGTTTGGGATCAGAGGTATATTTCCCCTTTGACATAAACTAGAAGTTCCTTTATTCTGCATGGCAGTAATAGTTAAACAAGCAATAATTGCTTTGAAACAAGACTTATTAACATATATGGAGAGATAAATTTATGTGCATGAAACTTAAGAAATTAAGAAATAAGGGGATGCTTTCACATTTTAGCTTAAATATGAAACATAGTGATAGATACGTAATTACTGGAAAGTTTTGAGTCTTTACCAGTGGATTCATGCCTTTGAATTTACTGCTAGATCAAAAACATAAAGCTTAATGTGTGTGAGTAAATTAAATATTTTCTGGTAGGTGGTCAGCCTGCTGCAACTCTTAATTCCTTGAAAGGATATTTTACAGTGCCTGTGCTTCATTTAAAAAAACCAACCAACCAACCAACTTGGTTTTCTAGGTATCTCGGATTGCAGACAGTGAAAGAAGTGTCATGTTAATGCTGGGACGCTGCCTGCCTCATATTGTCCCTAATGTGCTGCTTGCAAAGCGAGAGGTGAGGTCCCCCAAAATTTTAACTTTTATTTTTACCAGAATGCTTTCTTCTTCATTTTGAAGATGTTGTCTCTAACTTCATGAAAGTCTGTTACTTGCAAATATGTTCTTACTTTTGTGCATGCAACTCTGCTCCTAGAAAATGGTTTTACATCTCTGTCGGGTGAGTTCAGTAAACCTGCATGGTATCCTAATATTTCTTCCTTTGCTTAAAGCACTCATTAGCATTCAGAGAGACTGTTACTGTAGGTCCATCTACTTGTGGTAGCACAAATGTTTTTGTTAGAGAAGACCATGGTTAATTTGTGTTATAAAGAGCAGAGGATTTAAGTTCAAATATTAAATTTGGTTTATTTTATCTGTCAAATTTAAGAAGGATTGATGTTCAGGTTCTTTTTCAGCTCCATGTACTTAAAAAAAAGGAGCTCTGTATATCAGCCAAGATAAAGTTCATCAAAAACACCCCTTCATAAGAAAATTAGCAATCTTGCCTATATGTTTTCCTTACATTTAACATGAAGCTAAATAAAATTATGAAAATGTTTATTTTGAATGCAAATGAAGATGGTGTTTTGCATAATTTATAATATATAGTGTAGAAAAGGAAGATTGTGATTGAAGATGGGGAAAAAAAAGATTAGTTTTGTATTAATTTAAATATTTGTTTTAAATATTGCATATTACCAAATGTGTAAAAAAAATAAAATAAGAAAATATATGAAACAAAAATTTAATAACCTTTTAGTTGACACGAAAATAAAAGGTTTGAAGTAGCATAGCTTGTTGAGTAAGGTTTAGTCCTGTTGAGGGGACCTACAGTATGGTGTACTTAGTAGTGCCTCTTGCATAAAGTTGTTTTAAGGCTTTGAAAAATCCTTAAGAAATTTGTACTGATCCTATAATCTAAAATTTTATAACATACGAGTAATTATCAGCAGTTGACACGGTGAGTTTGAGATATGCTACGTTCTGAAAGTCTCAAACTTTATAAAAGGGTGTTTGTTGTTTGGTTGTTTTGGTTTTTTTCTGAGGGGGTGGGGGTGTTAACTGAGTGCTCTGGAAATGGTTCTATTAATAGTCTTTTAGAATAATTCTGTGAATGTTACTGGATCAGTGCTTAATTTCTGATTTCTTACTCCTTTCCTTCCCTCTGCTTAGCAGGATGTGGCATTTTGGCTTCTTTTCACAGCTTGTAGCATAATCTGCGTAATGCACTTAATATTTTTGTGACCTTTTAGGCTATTTCCTACTTACCTTGTTTTGCAGTTGAAGTTACATTTGATTACATGTATTTTTGCCTTAAATGAATCATTTGTTTCAATTCAACTGAAAAGCTGCAATTGAGAATTGTGTAACTGGGTTGCATGAGGTGCTTAATGTCCTGACAGTTGAAATTTCCTTTAAAAATAGCACTTTTTTTTTGTCACCACCCATTCTGTAACTATTGTAATGTTCTTTCAGGTGTAGTCATGGAATTTGAAGGAAATCTTGGGTAGACCATCTGTTAGTATTTATTAATATTGGCATTACAAAAAACTAACCTAAAAACTAGGGTCTCTTCAACAAGGTACAACTTCAGGTCTTGTCCCAAACCAGCCTTAGCATGAGAGAGTCTTAGCACAGTTTTATAGAGGCGTGGTGTAAAATATACCAAAAGATCACTAATTTGAGAAAGATACGAATCAGGTTTGGGTTATAACGCAACATGATCACCAGTCTGCTCTGAAAAGATACAGTGGCAGCGTTTAAGTTCTTACACTGTCAGTGTGCTGCACATGAGAATTGTACATAATTTTGTGATTGCCCCCTAAAGTACCTGTGTTTGTTCTTTAAGCATCCATCATGTTGAAATTGGTTCCAAATCTGAAGCTGAAAATGTTGTGTTATATATTTTTATTTTGGAGAAACAGATTTTGTGGTGGTTCACAGTCTCTCAGTAGGTATTGTCCTTCACCAGAGATTCAGAAGCCATTTCACCAGCACAGGGTCAGTAGCAGCCTACCTGACTTGGTAATAGGTGGTCCAGTAAATATTGCAGTTGACATCTGAACAACCAGTTAGTGTCAGAATATCTGATGTATTTCTGAAATGATTTGTTATTTTTGTGTATTGGTGCAACTTTAATTGTTCTTCAATATCTGTAGTTTAGGTTCTGATGGAAGATAAGAAAGAAGGAAAAATAAAGTATTGAGTCGGGTGACTGAGGAGAGCATTTTAGTTGTTTCTAAAAGAGCAGTTCAACCGGGAAAAATCAATAATGCCTATTATAGTATAATTGCCTGAAAGCAATTTGTATTTGTTAAAATTCCATGTATCAACATAGAAATTTAATTTTCTTGTTATTGAAAGTGACTAGTTTTTCCTAACAGCTTGAAAACATGTGTGTCAATGTTTAGATTTGTATGTGAATGCACTCACAAACAAATGAGATACTGCAATCCAAATAGAAATTGGAATGAAAAGCAACAATGCTAAAAACCTACTCTTCAAAAAAACCTCTTTGCCTGGGCATGGAGTCTGTGATAACACTTTCTGCAGATGAGTATCTTGAGTGCATAATTTCACCTGTCTTAGAATCTGCTTCCTCAAATGTATGTTTACCACTTAAAACTAAAACACATTTAAGATTTAAAAAAGAAAAATTAAACTAACCACCTTCTATTTGTCAAGCTGTGTACCATAAAAAGACTCCTTGGCTAAATTGTAATTAGAGAAAAGCAATCTTTTACATGTTTTGCAATAACTAATCAATGCAATACTGTTTTCTCACCCTTTATAAGATGTAAAAATCAGTACCTTTTTGTCAGGTAACAGAAGTAACCTTGTTGGTATGTACAATTTCACAGTCTGCATTATGTAGTGTTTTAGTGAAGTTTGGGCCAGACCTTTTTGACTTAATATCAGGATCTTGTTACTCTTGTTCTTATTCACAAAGCACTTTTTTCTTAATTATTTAAATTATTGATATCTTTCATCTCACCTATTATTTCAGGGTTGGTTTCTGTAATGTTCATTTGTATCATGCAAACTTAGCAAAATCATTATATTAATGGTTTACTAAATGTGCAATATTAAATATTTATGCTGAAAACCTGATATTTATATAGAGTTAAATATGTTAAGAACAGAGTTTTGCTTTTTTTTCCTTGTAAAGTTGAAGCAAAGGTAGAGCTGAGTCTGTAAAGTCTGAATGTGTGCCATTTTCGGCTGCTAGAAGAAAGTAATGCTGTAGATTCGAGGTTGTTCACGTTAACATGTAGTAACTCCTCATAGACATCACCAAGGCACGTTCATTCTCTGGTGTTTTTATAGGTAGCTGTCTCTTGAAACACAGTAGAGCTGAATATGTTATTACAGAATTTCATCTCAGTCTTATACTTCAAAGCCATAAAATACCAGCTTTGTTAAAAAATTTGAAAGAATGCTGTGTTGGAGCTTGGCAGTATATTTAAGTGACTGTTTCCAGTGGCTCTGTCGAGCAGATGTCATTCATGGATAAAGGTATATAAGTTTGAGTTCCTGGGCATGAAAATTGTCAGCCATGAGTATGTTCAGAATGCCTGTTCTGTTTCACAGATCAGGGGAGAATAAAAAAGAATTAAATGAACAATTAAAAAAATTTCTGTTACTCAGTTAAACTCAGATTGTGGTAGGCTTCTATAGATTGTGTTCCTGAAACACAGGGATATTGTTGATCCAAGCCTCTTTTCTGGTTCTTTTCTGATTTACATGGGGTGTTGGTTTTGGCTTGAGGGCTTTTTGCACACGTACACACATACATGAGAGAGGCATAACCTTATTTTAATTTAAGTCCTTTAGTTCCCTACTCTGGATATGAGGGGCTAGTGTTGTTTTCTTGGAATTAAATAGCTCAATCCCACGGAGTGTCCTTTTAATTTTTAGTCTGACAGATTATGTCTTTCAACACCATGTCTTTAACTGTAACATAATTCATGGATGCAAGAAGTTGAATTTAGTATTTATTAATCAAATTGCCAATTGTTACTAGTTTATGATGGTAGTTTAATATACAGGTTTCCAATTAAACAGTAGATATAAACAAAGAAGTACAAAAGTTTTTTTCACACCCATATCTGCATTGATTCTTATGTAAAAGCATCCCTTTGGGATCTACAAGCATCTTGATTTGGATCCTGGGATAATAGTCTCATCCCATGAAATGTAGTTAGAGCTGTAATTTTTAATGTGTAGCACAGAGTTCTGACTCATTTATTAATCCTATCATTAAATATTCTTTCATTTTAAAGCTAAAAGGCTGAATTCCAAACTTGGAATGCATCCCTGCACAAGAGACTCAGTATCGGTAGTTTGTTATTACCTGGAGCTCTTTCAGTTACTGCTAATAAGATTATTTTATTTTAGTTACTGGTTGTCAGAGGGTAAGTTACAGAAAGATTTTGACATAGCATTGGTTCACAATATAAGAATTTACTATTAGAGAAGATTAAAAGGGACATATTTACAAAATGTATCATAGTGTTTTATGTATTATGTTGTCATCTGTGTGCCATGTTATTACATTAATATTTTAAATAATAAAAAGATTACCATCCTAAGCTACTGAAGTAACCAGTATTGACACTTAACACTAATTAAATTTATTCTTTGAGATAATTATTTTGCTTATGAACACTCCAACAAAAAGACACTAATTAGTGAGAGAAACTAAAATGTAAAAGACTTCTGTGAGAATGTTGAACAAAAAAAATTATAATGAAAGCAACAATACAGATAGAAAATTCCTCGCTACCTTGTTAAGAAAATTGGCAGTAAAATAGACAAATGCTTGCTATAGGATGCATTTAAAAAAAACCTCAAACTTTAATATTTTGTTTTAATACTTTTAATACGTAGGAGGAACTGTCTTGCATATAGTTGAGGTCATACCAATTACCATTAAAAAGCCACCTTCTTCTGACTATAATGAGGAGCTACTCCTATGCCTATGTAAATGTTGCTTTTGTTGAGAACTTGAATCAGCTCAAATGGTAAATCCCATTCAAAGATAACAGAACATGTTGTAAGCTAGGGAGAAGTTGTCCTAAGGTACCATGGTAAGAAAAGAATGTGAGTTTTAGTTTTGGAGAGACCTACATGGGTAGTTACGCAGAAGTAGAACAGAGAGAAGATGGGGCCATGTCCGTTCTCCTGTGGAATGCGTTAGGGCAGCTTCATAGCCTTGTCTGTTGTTCACCTCTATGTGGCTTATCTCACAGTAAAACCAAAATAACTTCTCTCTACATCTAGGTAGTTCACAGATATAAACTGCCTCAGATACGAACTTGCCTTTTCAGTAGTGGGGGTGAGACATGTGGCACGTCATATTTTTTTCATCAGGTTGCAAGTGCTGACGATGTTATAATGACAGTCTGCTTGGCATCTAATCGGAAAACAGTATCACAGTTCTGAAAGTCACTCCTCCTGGTATTATTGACTGACACCAACATGAACTAATCAGTTTTTCCTAAATCAGGGGCAGAAGGGAAAAGAGGGAATTGGGGATGAACGGGATGTTTAGGAAGGATCCCAAATTAAATAGAGGGAGTGGGTTTGGTTTTTGCTTTTTTAAAATTTATTTATGTTTTTGCTTTATGACTGTCAGCACAGGTGGTATTCCTTCCCAAGGAAGGCAGAGTGTTTCAAGTAGCACTGGAAGTCCTCTCCTTGATTATTAATCACTTTAGAAGGTCTCCTAACAAAGTTACGAACTTTCCTCTTGAATTTAAACAGCCAAATGCTAATATTACTGTGTCGTAGTGGAAAATTAACACTTTCTACAGCACTTCTCTGCTATTTTTGAGAATGAAAAATCCGAGACTTATTTAACAAGGCTACATCTAAGGCATGGCCCTTAGCAACAGAAAGGAATGAGCTTGAACCTGCCTGTAGGTTGTTTTTTGTTCTTAATCATCCTGAATATCCAAAGAATTATCTGTCCCCTTTTAAGTCTTTGGGAGACTTCACGTGACCTGTTTTGTCCATCTGTGAGAGCAGTTTTGTTCTTATTGTTCCACAGAAAGTCCATCTCACCTCCAGTTTTACCTTCTTGTCCATTAAGTCTATAGGGAGCACATAAGACACTATTCAAGACTTCTCACTGTTTCTCCACTCCCATTAATAGAAGGAACTGTAGAAGCACTGATGCAGCGATGCAGAGAACACTCTCTTCTCCCATAGTATGCATGAAAGAATGTGACCAATGGACAAGGAAATGCAGCCAGTTCCGTCAGCTAGAATAACCAGCTTTCTGCAAGGTAAAGAACCAGCCTTGTATCTGCCCCATGTCAATGGTGTTAGGTTACTCGTTAGCCTTTCACACACAAGGTAGAGGTATCTAGGTGAATATTTGGACGTGTTTTTATTTCATACAGACTCAGAGGGAAAATGACAACTTTGTTAGCTTCCTTAAATCTGAGAAGAAGCTTTTAAAAAGAATAAATAAAGCTCCTGGCACTGTTTTGAAATCTAGCAGTAGTTCCGAATGAGCAGTTGAGTTTTGTGAGTAGATACTCAAACATACTAGAAGAGTGAAGTCAGTGTGATGGTTTCAATAGATAAAACAAAACCCCCAGATCATAGAAAATATACATGTCCCATTTCATGGGTTATATTATTTAAAACAAAAAAATAATTATAAGACATACTTAAGAATAATTGGAAGAACAGTTGGATAACGTGAACTTAGAGTAGATTCCAGAAAGGTAGATCTTGGTGAAGTAACACAAGGGGTTTTTTTTCTTTAATTTATTTAAAGGTTTTTCAAGGTTCTTCCATGAGCTTTATTCTTTATGGTGAAGTTAGAAATTATATTGTCTATCTACAAATTGCAATCTGATTTCCTCTTTAAAAGATCTAAGTAGTGGTATTTAGAGTGTCAGGGATTTTTTTATTTTCATAATTTTTTAAAAATTTTTTTGAGTTAAAACAGTTTTTAGAGGAGAGAAAATCCTTCTGTGAAGTACAAAAAAAAAAGTTAAATAGCTTAAACCCCCTGCCTTCTCAGAACTTTAAATGGGGAAAAAAAACTGAATGTTAAGCATACAAAAAATAAAATCAACTGGAGAAAGTTACTTAGCTCTTCATGCAATGTAATTTGTAAAGTTTCTTAATACAGGTTTTCAATTCACATTATTTTGTGTTGTGCTACACTTATTTAAAAACAAACCCCGAAACTGGCTCACTTTAAAATATTAAGAAATAGAAATGTGCAAATTGTTCAAATTTATTTCTCATTTCTTCTCTGTACTTTCAGATTTTTTTAAGTGATGGGTAGGATATTTCTACATTCATTCCTCTGTCTCATCATAAATTCCCTAATATGTACTATAATTGGATTAATATTGCCAAAATATCTTCCATCATGTTAAAACATTTTAGGAAGTGTCTTGATCATCTTCATCAGGGGAAAATAGCACACTGAGTAGAATTCTTGTAAAAGGAAAACAAAAGCTTATCAGGAGTTGACTGGCTCTAAAATATTGTTCTGTGTTTGAAATAAACATAGCACTTGCTGTTTGGGAAAACAGAAGTTGAGCAGTGAAGGTGTCTTTAATGTTGTTTCCACATGTCCACCCTGTTTAATAGGTTTGCTCTCAAGAACAACATGAGTAGGTCACTTTGAATGTCTGCAAGAAGAAATTGGTACCTCCCTGCAAAGTTATTACAAATAGCTATAGATTTTTCCAGTTTTTGTACAATCTGTCGTAGCAACTTCCAAAGTGTTTCTCATTGTCATCTGCTTGTTCATCACAGCTTATTAAACTTTGTCTGCTGAAAGTGGCTCAGCAGAGGAGGTCACTAGATTATGTGCCAATATTTTCTCTGCAGACACCTAGGTTTGTCTTATTCTTCTCCCCTGACCTCCCATTGTAATGTTTCTGTCTCTAAGATATTAAATCACGTAGAAACTGTGTGACTTCCAAATTTGGATGGAGTAAAGGCTCAGATCAACAATGTCAAGGAAAGGGACTTCCAGTCCATGTTTTAGAAACTTTTGTTTCTTCTGGGAATGAATACCATGAGCTTTGAAGGCATGTTTAGAACAGAGGAGGTCTTCACTATTGTGAACAGCCTTTATTTTCTTTCCATTAATGTTTTAAACAGGATTTTCTTGGTACTTTGTTCCTTAAGGGAATTGAATTGCTCTAAAAAGAAAAATCAACTTCAGATATTGCCTCTTTATTTAAAAAAAAAAAGCCCCAACAAACCTTTAAAAAACAGTATAGTTTTCAGTCAAAGCAAAATAGAGACGTCTGTCTGCAGTCACCTTTGTTAATGTGTGTTTCTCAGTGCTTATTCAAACGTGTGCACAAAACTGTGTACATGCTTAATTGGAAATTTTAATCGTTAACTCCATGGCATCAGGAATAACTTTTTCTGTAGGAGCTTTGTTCTATAGAAGTCTGTGGAGCTTGCTTCAGTTCAGTAGGTAGTTAAGACAACTTTAAACCATGATTGTTCTCTAATTCTGGTTACAGGTGACCTGCATGTGTTAATTGTAATCTTTGCAGAGCTTTTTATATTATGTGCTGGTTCTCCCCTGATCTTTCCTAGCAGGAAAATAATTCTAACTTTTGTAGAGCTTCCCTTTTTTCAGGTCACTTAATAAGAGATCAAGACTCTAAAACATCTTCTCTAACTATTTTGATGTTACGTGGCTAGATTTATCTTCTTAGTTTCTTTTGCCATTAATGAATATATGCCCAAAGCGTTTTTACTTTGTTTGGTTTTCCCCTACCCACAACTTTTTAGGAATTGATCCCACTCATACTGTGTACAGCCTGCCTCCATCCTGAACCCAAAGAGAGAGATCAGCTTCTACACATACTGTTCAATTTGATCAAACGACCAGACGATGAGCAAAGGTGTGTTTGCGTTTGTGTGTTGCGGGACAAGAAGGAATTTTTTTTCTTTGTCAAAGAAGCAGAACTAACAGAAACTGGATGTTATTGGATGATTTTAACCAAGTTTCAGTTAAATGGATATTTTGCTGGTATAGTGTTGACCAATTTATGCAGACTTTGGAACTTTCCATTTCCATGAATTGTACTTCCTAGTTACTGAAATGTAAGAATGTCCTTGGTAAGCTGCAGTGTAACATCTCAGTTCTTTTTTTTTTTTTTTTTTTTAAAGGTGAACTGAAACTCTTTGTTAAAATGAGCTTTAACATCATAATTCTTATCAATGGTTGATCTAGAAACAAAAACAACTTTTAAAAATCTTTGTCTTATTGTATCTTAGAGCGCTAGATGTTTGTAAGTTAACTACCATGTTTAGTTGGGGAAAATAGCACGAGAAAATAGTACTCTTCCTACTTACAGTTCAGTACTATGGTAGCAATAAAATACTGAAAAGACTGAAGCAGTGATTTAGTTCTGACAAGTGTTAAGAGCTTTATTTGACTTTGGTTAAGACTTTGAAATGAAGTATACTTCTTATTTTGTTTTATAAATTTACTTCTTCCTTAGTACTCCAAAATCTGACTTTGTTTGTACTGATCTTGATAAGAGTATCCTTAAGGTTGAAAGACAGTACCCTAGCTGGTATGTTTCCTTCTCTAACTGTGGGAAGATTTTTCATATTTTCTGTAGCTCTTCCATGATTTTTTCATTAGGGATGTTCTGTAAAGCATCTATATCTATTGTTGCCCTATTCTGTCTTCAGACAAAACAGGCTTTATGAAATAGGTGGAAAGCATTTCTTTTGAAGATTCTCTGAAACTGAAGTGTTCTGGTGTCTTTCTAAAGTGTACCCATGGTAAAATTTAGAGATGAGATACAATTGAAAGAGATGGCTTTGGAGACAAAAAATGCATAAATAAATAAAAGCAACTTGTAGTACAGTGGCACCATACAGACTGAAATTACAAAAAGATGCAGTCCTTGTTCTATTTCACGTTCATTGGAAATCTTCTGAAACATCTACCATTATAAAATGTTTTCAATGCCCCATGCAGATTGAGAAGCTAAAATTATTTTGTTGTTGAGGGGGGGAGGAAGTTACATCTTGCTTGTAATCTCTTGTAGTTGTCACAGAATTGGTGGCCTAGCAAGTAGATTTTTCATATGGCTGTTTAGCTACAGTTAGGTGTGTCTTTTCCAACAATTTTTGTGATTTGTATTTAAAAGAAACTTTAGTTTATATAAATAAACTTTGTTATTTCATCACAAATAAGAATATTCTGGCATAACCTCCAGAACAAAACATAATATACATTTACACACATAAAAATCATAATCTGTTTTAAAGTTACCATAACACCTGACTGAAGAATAAGTAAAAATCCATCAAATAAAAGAGATTCTGAATACAAATTAGATAGAAAATACTTATTCAGAATTTCTGTCAGGTTTTTTTTTCCTTATATATTTGTATGGAAATCTATTATGCATGCTTGACTTTTTGTCTAAATAAGTTTAATTAATGTTTTAGCAATCTTGTGTGATATGAAGTAAGCAAAGACACTCAGATTTAGTCACTAGAACAGTGGTATTAACTATCTCAATAAGTTGACTTTTTTAATTTGTTAAATGTAAAGAGGCTGAAATGTGACATTGCACTTCTGATAATGAACCCATTAAAATAAGTATTTTATTTAAATATTTGACCTTGTAATATATGTTAACAATTATGCAGAAAGCTTGTCTTCTTGCCCATGTGAGAAGCTTTTTGGTGCATACAGATACAGCATATTGCCATAGTTTTGTATACTAACATTATATTTAACAAGGCCTCAAGGCTTTGATCATTAATGTATTACTCAGCTTTTCAAAATGTCTATCAAATTCTTTTCTGCAAAGGATCAAATATGTGTTAGCTTTACTTAAGCTTCATTTTGGACAATTATGTTGATTTTTAGAAGCTAAGGAGCCATGAAGAAGTCAGATAAATGTTGGGGTCGTTTAGGGCAAGGTTAAAACAGAGTTCAAAATGTGAACTCTGGAAGATTTCCAAGCAATGTACCCAGAAGCAGCACTTGTAATGAAAAGCTAGAATACATAAAGATTTATGTATCTTGTGTGACTTTTCATTGGTCATATGGTACCACCTTGTACACAACACACATAACTTGCTGGCATGTTAAGGAAAACTCTAGTAAGTGAGTTTTTAATATAACCTTTTAGGAGTGACAAAAGAATGTTGAAGTATGTAATATAAAATTGAATTACTGACCAGTGCGTGCAGTCACTTTCTAAAACCTCTAGAAGGAGTTTAGAAGTGTTAAATTAGGTCTGTTCTACTCTAACTTCTGCCTTGTTCCTCTAGTCTAATTCTTGATTTCACTTGGTTTCTGTACTGATGAAACAAACTAGTGCTCTGCTGAATCATACTGATTTGCTTTCTGTTCCTGCCTAAGTGACTGTAAGTGACCTGAAGTCAGGTGAGACTGAAGTGACCTGGAGAGAGCTCTTTGAGGAAAGTGTTCCTAGCATCTTGATAACAAAAGAGATCATTATGACAAGTAGAAAGAAGTTTTTCCTTTAGCCAGCCTAGGCTGCAGTTTTTGCAATAGCTTAGTGTTAATTTTTTTTTTTCAGTGACCTCTTGTTGAGATCCTTACAACATTTCCTTTCCCTAAAACACTGTCTGTTGTCATCTACTTTTAGGATAGTTACAGTAAAATATTTAAAATATTATTTTTTAATATTTTTGCAATATCTTTAAGTTCCCTTCTTTATAGGCAAGACAGGAGATCTGAGTTAATTTTGAGATTTCATTTCATTGAAGTTTTTTGAAGAAGTTTGACTTTAAAAAAAAAATTTCACATTTTGATTTTCCCCATTTCTAATGCAGAAGATTTCAAGTGATTACTGTACTCTATTATTTGCATTTTTAATATCTTATAAAAGTATATTCTGTGGCCCAATCTTGTGATTTAGTTTTAGGCAGTGTTTAGAAACAAAGGCGGGCATTTGAATAACTATTTTGTTCGTTGTAGAACTCAGAATACCACAGGCTTTTGTCTCCATATTGCTATCACATATCAGCGGTTGATTTCTTGAGTCTTATCAAATCATTGCATTTTTGTTTTCTGCCAACCTTTTAACCTTGATCAAAGGTCTAGTTCTCTGTATGTGGTAGAGAGGGCAGGAAAAAAAAGAAAGAAAATAAAAGCAAACCCCACCAACAATTAAAAAAAAACCACAACACAACTGAAGAGCTCATTCTGATTGTTGGCCTAAAGAATGCTGGGGAAAAAGAATTCTTTTTAATAGACTAATTCTCCTTTAAAATATCCTGAAAGTGAATGAGTCTTTTTTTTTTTTTTTTTTTTTAATGGAGTATATTTTATAACTGTTTAAGAAATAACCAGCAGAATCTCTGCCTTTCAACCTTAAGGGCATACTATTAGCTGCAGTAAATATTTAGGAATTTAGACATGATACTAAAATATTAACAAATTAATTCTGTCTTACTTTCCACGAAATAATGATGAAGCAATTCTCATTGGTGTCCGCATCTTACTGTGGAGGTGATAAAAAGAATTTGTCATGTCCACATGTTATCATTTGAAACTTGTTATTTAAGTGTTCATATAGTCATTAAAAGTAAATAGAACTGGTAAATTGCATGCAAAGTTAGTATCATTCCAATCCTATTAACAGGAGAAATAGTTAGAAGTAAAAAATCTTATCAAGATAAAAATTTAAGTTAAAATATCACAAACAGTTAAGTACAGTTTTATTGAAATCTCAAATATATTTCTGTGCCCATTAAATTGATGGAAAAACAGTGATTCCTTGCAAACTTTGAGGAAGGTTAAAAAATGCAAGCATATAAATACAAGTTACTCAGGTGATAGTAGATACTACTGATTTATTAATTGCTTCCCTTTTATAATGGGCCTTGGAAGATTTTTGATGAGTAAAGTCCAGTATTTCAGGAGAGATGACAATAACTTGCGTGCTCAAATGTTGTAAAACCATGAATTAAGGTACTTGTATTGAACAAAGTTCATTAAATCTCACAAAAGCTTCTAAATAAAAGCTGTATGTGTACTTGTCTAAAATACTGATAGTATGATAGTATTAAGCAATTTAAATCCTCTTACTGCATGACGAATCACAGTATTCAGTAATAGGAATTAAATGAGAGATTTAGGCAGAGACTCCCAATCTAAGACATCAGGAAATCAGAGATTCACAAATGAGAGATTCTCAGGCTCTGGTTCATGGAGTCTGGAATCTGGAAGTTTCTGGAAAAGGCATATTAAATAGAAAACAAGAATGAATCATAGAATAGTTTGGGTTGGAAGGGACTTTTAAAGGTCATCTTGTCCAACCCACCCCTGCAATGAACAACAACAATAGTGGCTTTCAGTTCTAGATTGAGCATTTAAGTCAGTGTGTATGGTGTGAAATTTTGACTGTAGACAATAATCTGTTGCCTGACAGCATCTACTTTTCCAAACTTAAAGGATATATTCTATGTATTATAGAACTTTATAAACAGATTAAAGCTTTAAATTTGCGTTTTCAGACAGATGATACTGACTGGGTGTGTGGCATTTGCCCGACACGTTGGACCAACACGTGTAGAAGCTGAGCTTTTACCACAGTGTTGGGAACAGGTAACTGATTATTTTGTGCTTTATGCTGGAAAATTAGTTAAAAATTCATAAATGTTGAGTTTTATTTGGTTGAGAGGGAGGTTGTTTTGGTTTTCAATGAATGGCAGTTCAAGGTATTTTTTAGAAAGCTATTTAGATGTTCTTTGTCCTCATTATATATAGTTCTATATAATGTTAAAAAAAACTCAGAAGTAGAAAAATTGTCAAAAACTATCTGGAGATTCTAGTTACCTGAATGTACCTGCATATGTTTGTTGTATCAAAATATAGATATGCAAATATTCATCATCAATGTTGCTTAACCTGTTACCAGGTAGGTGCCTTTATAATTTGTACTGTAATTTCCAGACTGTTGAAAATACATCTGTATTCAAATATTTAATTCGCTGGTTTTTATATTGTATTATGTCCCTGGAGCAGTGTCCATGCTTCAACTGTTTTAAATTCTTAAACAGAAAATTGAAGATCAGAGTAGTCAGAAATAAGTCACCTGTAGATGGCATGATTTTACATATTTTATTTTTTTTATTTTTTAAGATCAGCCTGAAGTTTACATGTGACTTCTAGAATCACAGTGACCTTTTCTACAGATATTCTAAATTTATAGAAATAACTGTTCAGGTGAAAAGGCAGGGTATTTTCCTGCCATAATGAACAAAAGGAGTTCAACATTGCCTGAAAGACAGTGAATAACCAAGCCATGGTGGAGTTGTAATTGATGGTACAGTCTTTCTGTTCTGATAATTGTCTACTGTTTCTTGCATAACTCAGCTATCTGTGTTTCACAATAAAGTCAAAGTTTTAATAGTCTTAATGCTTTCTGACAGTAGAAGTATGTATTATATGCAGCATTTGTACTCATATGTGTGACTGAGGTATTTGTCAATTAAATTAAGGACTCGTGGCAATAGTAGTTCAACACAAAATAAACTACACTTTGTTTTCTTGGTTCTCATGAAATCTTACCAGTGGGGTTTTTTTGTTTTGTTTTTTTTAAAAAAAAGTCTTACCTATGTAAGAGCACATCTTCATCAGACTAGTTTCTTACTAACTACTGACACAAAAGAGAAACCAGTTCAACTGTAACAGTACAGCATATCAGGCTGCCAAGCCATATGTCATCTTGCATTTATTTAATGCAGTTTGCCAAACTTTATTCGCAGTACTGAAACCAGGTCAGTATTTTCTCTGAAAAAATAGCAGCTGAATCTCATTGTCACAAGACTGAGTTTGTAGCAGGAACTCAAATACACATAATTTTCTACCTTTTCTTAGTAGATGCTTTAATCATGAAAGCGTTCATGCAGTCAGTCTCCAACCAAAATCTATTTACAGATGCAAAGGACTGGGCCCTCAGAAGATTCAGCATTTTCATCCACTCATTCTGGAGCTCAGAGTTATCAGGCTAGTCTTTGTGATCTTTCTGCCTGCTCTTTGCAGGTAGAATTTGGTAGCTGGCTCATCTGAGTTTAGATCAAGGCTCTGTGAATGCTGAAAGTTCCCTTGGAACTAGTGACCAGTTAATTTGCTTCCAAAATAGTACTACTGCTTATTAAAGACAAAAGAAAAAGAAATGGTAATAAACATTTTACAGTTATGTTTAAGTTTCCAAGGGCTGATAATCTTCCTTGAATACAAACCTTGTGGAAATTTGAGTCTTTTTTCCTCCAGTGTGTTAGTATGTCTTTGCAATATCAGGGGTGATATTTATATTGCCTTGCCAGTCCACCTAAATCAGTTGAAACTAGTCTTTGCAGTTTCTCTCAGGTGGGCAAAACTCCAGAAGGCAAAGTCTATCTCTGTTACCAGTAAGGAATTTGCATTTAGAAAGATGGCACAGAAGACAAAGGTACTATAGGCATTGAAGCAGCCTGTCGTGTGGCCATAAGGTTTCTCACCTAGGAAATCTCCATGCTTCCAAAAAATATTACAGATGCCCTACTGATGAATGAATGCAAAATAATGGTAGATGCTCTCAGAGAATGTTCTCCCATACTTGAGACTTCAGTCTGAGGCTCATGATTTGTTCATTTGAGTCTCTTTCAAATGATCTTTGCTACACCTCATTCTTGGGAGAGTTCTAGGTGATTTCAGATTAGAACAGTGAGAAAGTTGAAGCCATTAATACTACATCAGTGGTCAGGTACCATTGTTCAGTGTGCTGTGGAAATAAAGTTGAGGTAAGAATTTGTCCAAAGTTGATTTTATTACTATGTCTTCACCTGTAGTTTCTCCTAAGCCAGTAGAGTTGAGAACATCACAGAATGGCTGAGGTTTGAAGGTACCTTTGAACATCTTGTAGTCCAAGACCCCTGCTTAAAACAGAGTCAGCTCAAGACCAAGTCCAGTCCGATTTTGAGTATTTCTGAGGATGGAGGCTCCATAACATCTCTGGGTAACATCTTCCAAGGTTTGGCCACTCTCCCAGTAAAACAGAATATCCTGTACTTCATTTCTTCTTGTTCTTTCATTGGGCACCTGTGTTCTTTACCTCTCTGTAGATAGGTACAGGTATTTATTCATATGGATAAGATCCTTCCTGAGCTCTCTCTTCACACAAGTGAACAATCCCAGCTCTCCCAGCCTCCCTCCATATATCAGATACTCCTGTCTCTTAATCACCTTCACATCTCTCTGCTGGACTTGCTCCAATATGTCTTTGTAGCTGGGAAACTCAGAACTGTACATAGTACTCTAGATGCAATCTCACCAGTGCTGGGTAGAGAGGTATAGTCACTTTACCTGCTGGCAATGTTTATCCTAGTGCTGGCCAGGTTACCATTGGTCTTCCTTGATGCAATGAGTGCACTGCTGGCTCTGCTTGGTATCTGCCAGGCCCTCCATGTCCTTCTCTACTCAGCTGCTCTCCAGCCAGTTGGCCCCCAGTCTGTCCTGGTGTGTGGGAATTGTTTCTGCTTGGGTTCAGGACTTTGCACTTCAAACTTCATAAGGGTCCTGTCTGCCTGTTTCTCCAGCCTGTTGAGGTGCCTCTGAACAGCAGCGCACCCATCTGGCTATATGAACCATTCCTTCCAGTTTTGCATCATCTGCGTGCCTGTTGAGGTGCATTCTGTTTTGTCATCCAGGTCATTAATGAAGATTTTATACATCTTTGTTGTTGGCCCCAGAATCAACCCTTGGGGTGCGCCACCAGGGACTGGCCCCCAGCTGCAACTCTTTGAGCCTGTGATTAGTTCAGCCAGTTTTCCATCCACCTTGCTGTCTTTACCTAGCCCAGACTTCAACAGTTTGTGAATGAGTATGTTATGGGAAACAGTATCAAAAGTCTTGCTGAAATGAAGATAAACAATATTTACTGCTCTCCCCTTGTTCACTGAGCCAGTTATCTCTGAAATCTATCAGGTTGGTAGTGCATGGGTTTTACCTATATAAATACATGCTGACTATTCCCAACCACCTCTCGTCCTTTATAAGTTTGGAAATATTTTCCAAGGATTAATTTTTCCAACACCTTCGCAGGAACTGATGTGAGGCAGACCAGCCTTGTCTCATTGGATCTTCTGTCTTGCCCTTCCTGAAGATAACAGTGGCATTGGCTTTCTTCCACTCCTCAGGAACCTCCCCCATTGCCACAACATTTCATTGTCAAGAGTGGTCTTACAGTGAAATGACATCAGCCAGGTCCTTCAGCACTCATGGTGCATCCCCATCAGGGCCCACAGACTACTGTATGTCCAATTTGTTTAAATGTTTCCTAACCTCATAGTTCTCTGCCAAAAGTAAGTCTTCCCTGCTCCAGACTTTTGCATGGGTTTTAGGGACCTCACACTACTGAAGGCAAGTCTTCCCAGTAAAGAATTAAGACAAAGAAGACAGTGAGTACTTTGGTCTTTTCCACGTTAAGATGGTTGTCTTGCCAAGGCTATATGCTGCATAGCAAGAGAGAAAGAAATAATCGCACCACATGCGTGTCCTACTAGGATCCGACTATTTGCATTTCCCTCTCACCATTTTACCCTAATTTTTTTTATTCAGAGAGTGTGTTGAAACATATCACGTGTTTCATTCTACAACCATTACAGTGGCCATTAGAGCTGACTCCACCAGAATGCAAAACTTGGTTCCAAAATGTCAATAATTAATTTGTAAGGCAGAATTTTGGAATGGCCTTTAAGTGGAAAGAGAAGGTAGCACAAGATCAAGAGGTTCATGAGAACAGGAGCTGTTTTGAGTCACATTTTAGAGACCTGACATGTTCATGCTGGACTTGAGAGCAGAACTTCAATAGTATGCAAGTACTTTTTGGCTTAGTACATGTGTCTTCTTTTGACCCAGACTGTTCAGCGAGACGTAGTCAGCTATGCTACACTGGTTGGTTCAGAGCACTAGAGGGCACTTGTGTAGTTCTTAGAGGAGCAGTGCTACTGAAGGGCTACACAAGACAAAATATTTCATGACATGCCAGTTCAGAACTTATTCATATTCTTTAGAGTACAGCAGCCCATATGCTGCTTTCCACCCTTCTTTTTACTGTATTTGCATACATGCTTCTTCTCTTGTAAGCTCTATTTTGTGCGACAACTAGAGAAGGCTGTATCTACCTTGACTTTATGCCTCAGTGCAAGAATTTGAGGCTGCTTAGTACCTGTATGCAACTTCAATGGGCACAGTCAATGTTTATCTAAGAAGTGCAGACATATCCCCCCATTGCAGATCATTCTAACCACATTTTGAATACTGGTTACTACAAAGCAAATAGCCATTCTGTTTCTCTTTACCAGATCAACCACAAATACCCAGAGAGACGACTACTAGTAGCAGAATCCTGTGGAGCTCTAGCACCTTACCTTCCAGTAAGTATTAATACTTCACTAGTGAAAGCAAGGTGAAAATCTGTTGCATAATGTAAACATGCTTTATCACTTTAAATATTCCCAAGCCTGTATGTTATGCATAGACAGTCAGGGGTTTTTTTTGTTCCAGGGAAGATAGTTTGGACCAATTAAGGAAATAATATCTGAAAAAATAATTGGCACCCAATAATAGAGTTTTTCAGACACTAGAATGTTACATGAAGAGTGCTGCCAGTCAGAAGCAACACCAAAATTATCAGTGGTGAGCTAGAATTTGAAGCTTTAGAGAAAGAGGAAAATGACCCAAATTAAAAACCCACTTCTCCAATTTAGTAATGCAGTGATTAAAGATTCTGTTTTAAGTCTGGGCCTGTAGTAGTTTTTTGCTGTTAGTTATTTTTGGTTCAATATGAATTAAAGGACCCGAGTTCTGTGGTTAGTAGGACAAAAGGCTCTCTAATGAGGCTACTGACATTTTCTATTCATTCATCTTCTGTTGTGAAAACTGAATGTGTAATATTCATAAAGGGATCTGTGTTTAGAGGAAGGGATTCTGTTTGTGAGCACTAATAGAAGTGCAAATTATTGATAAAAATTTATATAAACCCTCATTTCTCATTTTGTTGGATTTAACAAGTATGTTTCTTGTTTACAAACAGAAAGAAATTCGTAGTTCATTAGTACTTTCCATGCTGCAGCAAATGCTAATGGAAGATAAGGCAGATCTGGTACGAGAAGCGGTGATCAAAAGCCTCGGCATCATTATGGGATATATTGATGATCCAGACAAATATCAACAGGTATAATTTGGTTTGGGTTCTGTATGTACAAAATGTCTTCTATAGTTATTTCATTAATAGGGGTATGCATAATTTCATGTATTTTTATTAAATCTTTCCAGATACTTTAAAAAATTTTGATAGTCTATATGAATGTTGATTTTGATTGTATCACTGAGACCAAAAAGAGAATATATATGCAGAACTGTCATTAGAACCTCAGGTATAAGCCTTGTGCAGAGGCTTCTCTTGTAATTCATAATTTGCCTTCAAGAACCTACCACTTTATTGCCCACCTGATACTATTAGCCAATTTGATATCATCACTTACTAACAGACATTTGTCTGCTACAACAAAGCCTACTTGTAGTTCAACTTAATATGGCCTAATTATGTTTCAGATAAGTGAAAATGAAAAATTTCTAATCCTGTCTTTGAGTGTTTGCAGGCGGAGTGGTACAGTGTGTTTGTATTGATTCTGATAACCTGACTATAGAGCAGTGCTAGTGGGATCGTTGAACCACCTACTGTTTGTTTGCCTTTGTAGATGTGGTGGGAATATCTGTTGAAAGGCATCTGTGTGCTACCTTGTTTTATTTTTATTAGTGTAAAGTTTTTAAAATAGACTATAATCTTTTTCTAGTCTGCATATTTTGTGTGGGAAACTTTAGCATAAGTTTTAGGAAAATAATTACCTTTTTTATTGTTTTGCCAGGGCTTTGAACTACTGCTTTCGGCTTTAGGAGACCCTTCAGAACGTGTAGTTAGTGCAACACATCAGGTATTTTTACCTGCTTATGCTGCCTGGACAACAGAACTGGGAAATTTACAGTTCCATCTTATACCTACACTGCTTAATAAAATCGAAAAATTGCTCAGGGTATGTGTTCAACTGTTTCTACATTGGAGAATTTTCTTTGTATCTTTACATATGCAGGCTTTTTAAAAAAACTACAAAAATGTAAATAATTGCTACTTAATGTTCTATGTGAAAAATTTTCTGGAGATTCCTGTTGTAACTCTAACTTTTACTTGTCATTTGGAAGAAGGAAAAAAAAAAACAAACATATTCTTCTTTAACAGTGTTTTGCTTTATACACTAGTAATCAAAGAGCAGTTCAGAACACACCTGAGCCTGTTACCAGATGATAGGTGTTATTCAGAGTGCATTTGCCCTATATTTAAAATGGTTTTAAGTGTCATATTCTGTAGTTTTTAATAAACTGCAATATTTATTAAACAAAAAAGTATAATTGAATTATTTAGTTAGGTCATTTGCAATTATGAGCCAGTTTACCTGCACACTTAATTTCATAGATATCTGGAAAGTTCTGGAAAATAGTGTGTCTCATAATGATCTAGCACACTTAACCAAGATGCTTGTTTTCAGAGTACAGGTGGCTAATTTATTCAGTTTTTAGATGTATTGGTCTCTGAGACCAAGGATTTCCAAAATGTGCTGAAAAATGTTCTTTCAGAATATCAGTATGTTCATCAACATGAACTACTAAATGCCAAAGGCTATATTGCTTGAACCTTTGAGTAGAAGTAACTTAAGGGTGACAAGAGGATCTGGATGGTGACACAAAGCAAGCTTGTGGTTAGGATAAATTACTGTATATTACTGTCTCTGTGTAGAAGCTCATCACAGATATGTTTATCTCTTGCCAGGGAATACGTACCTAAGCAACAGATCATCCAAAACCAAAAACTTTAAGTAAATGTCCTGTTTGTTTCAGGAAGGAGAACATGGCTTGGATGAACATAAGCTCCACATGTATCTGTCTGCTCTGCAGTCATTGATTCCTTCACTGTTTGCACTGGTGCTACAGAATGCACCTTTCACAAACAAGGCTAAACTTCAGGGAGAAGTACCACAAATAGAAGGTAAATTATTAATTTCTTATATGTGGATTTTTTTATAAACTTAAGTATAATTCGGTGACAAATCTCAAATCACTATTAACTGCAAAGGAAGGATTTCAGGAAATAGTCTGTAGTCCACATTTACTTGAGATTTGTGTGTGTATTTAAAGTTACTACATGAACACAAGTTGCAGAATCTGGGTAAAAACTTTATATTTGTATAGCACTCTGTACAAAAACAAAGTTTACGTCCCCAAGCCTTTTTTCCTAATCCACCTGTTCTTTATGTTGTATTTTCATACATAGCAAGTACAGAGAAAAATTCAGGGAACCTCTGTCATGTTGTGAATTTTCTTTCTTGAATGTTGCTGAGTTGACTAGGAGAATGATTATTTTTTTAAAGGCAAATCCCAGCATAGAAAGATTAGTTTTGACTTGTCATGACTTTTTTCTTTGTAGTTTTTCCCTTTTTGGGAAAACATCTTTCTATTTCCTTTCCTCCCTCTGCTCCTACTTTATTCTCATGAAAGAAATCAGTCTGCTTGAACCCTTGTCTGATGTTTAACTAATTACAAATATCAGCTTACTGATGCAGAAGAAATATGTCACTCATGAATATTACTAAATGATTGACAGTAGAACGAAGGAGAACTGAATGGTATCCTTTTGTATTTTTTTTTTTTCTCCTCTATTTACTTAGAAGTGTTACAGGCAAAACAGCTTCTTTGTGCCCAGTGACTGTAATCCAATGAGAGTCTTGGAATGAAATATTTTGTCCTGATACACAACATAAATTGGGGAGAAAAAAAAAAAAATAAATGCAGTTTTGCCTTCTGATTTTCCTCTGAAATGTCTTTTTCATATTGGTCTCTCTTAGCAAATCCTTAAGTAATGCTTCTTTTTCCACCTATTTCTACACTTGAGAGACCTGATTATCACAAAAAGAGTTTTTATTACATCTCTCATTATTTATATCTACTTCTTTAAAAGAAAGAAGCTTTGAGAAAGCAAAGCACTCCTTCATTGGACTTCCTAAAGGTTTCTGAAGAATTTATTTCCAGTAATAGCAAATAATAGCTATAGTTTCAGATAATTCTTACAAATAAAAAATGTTATGAAATGGGAAAAATACAGTCTAGTACAGGAACTTCACCATCTGTTATGTATCTATGTGATATCTGAGCAGACTGAGTGGTCTTATAGTGGAGTTATACTTAGATCAGCAATCCCAGCCTGTAGAACATTTTCTCATGTTACAAATACTTTTAAAAGACATTACTGATAATACCTGCCACTTGCTGATAATAGTGCTGTGTGGAAAGATGCAAAGAAAGGGTAACAACTTTAAAGGAGAATTTGGAAAGTAGCTAGTGGTATGTTACTGTACAGTATTAATGTGAAAATGTTAAACATGCCGTGGTAAAACTCATCCAGCTGACTCAAGTAATTTGAAGATGAGAACTTTTCCCTTAGGGGCTAGTACTTAAATAAGGATTTCAAAAATTTCAGGCTTCAGCTTAGTCTGACAGTTTCTTGCTGCACAAAATTGGAGTAAAAAAATCTCACTTACTCTTCACTAATCTAGGAGCATTGCAGGAACTGCAAGCTTGCTTTCTTGAATTTTGCAGTAGGAAAGATGATGTTCTTGTTGCTTAACTCCATTGCTGAATAATTTGAAGTATGCTTGACATGAATTGAGAACAATAAAAGCAGTGTTGGTGTAGCAAGCTTTCAATCCTCAGATATTTTAATGGCCTAGAATTTTTTGAGGTCTTCCTTTTTAGTACAAATCATTCTCTTCTGATAATTCAAATAATTGAGGCATTGGGGGAGAGAGTGGGGAGTGACAAAAACTACTTCATATATAAAGGTTGGAACAGTCAGATGATTAATCATAGTGATAGAAGTCAGGAAACCTTACCTGCAAGTCATTCTACTGCAAATCTGCAGTGTGTTCTTTGGGATCATAGAATGGGTTGGAAGGGACCATGAAAGGTCGTCTAGCCCAACCCCCTGCAGTGAGCAGGGACATCTTCAACTAGATCAGGTTGTTCAAAGTGAGTGTTTCCAGGGTTTGGGCATCTACAATCTTCCAATCCTCTGATCATTTTTGTGGGCCTCCTCCGGACGTGCTCCAACAAGTCCTTGTCTGTCTTGTGCCGAGGGCTCCAGAGCTGGATGCAGTACTCCAGCTGGGGTCTCACCAGAGCAGAGCAGAGGGGCAGAATCACCTTCCTTGATCTGATGCAGCCCAGGATATAGTTGGTTTTCTGGGTTGTGAGTGCATATTGTCAGCTCATATCCAGTTTTTCCATCCACTAGTACCCCCAAGTCCTTTTCCACAGGGCTCTTCTCAATCCCTTCATCCCCCAGCCTGTATTGATACTGAGGATTGCCCTTACACAGGTGCAGGACCTTGCAATTTGGCTTGTTGAACCTTATGAGGTTCACACAGGCCCAATTTTCAAGCTTGTCCAGGTCCTTCTGGATGGCATCTCATCCCTCAGGCCTGTCAGCCACACCATTGAGTTTGGTGTCATCTGCAAACTTGCTGAGGGTGCATTCAATCCCACTAACTATGTAATCATTGAAGATATTAAACAGCATTGGTCCCAACACAGACCCCTGAGGGCACCACTTGTCACTGATCTCCATCTGGATGTTGAGCTACTGACCACTACCCTCTGGATGTGACCATCCAGCCAATTCCTTACCTGCCGAAAAATGCACCCATCAAATCCATACCTCTCCAGTTTAGGGGGAAGGATTGTAGGGGACCATGTCAGAGGTCTTACAGAAGTCCAGATAGATGACATCCATAGCTCTTCCCTTGTCCACTGATATAGTCACTCCGTCATAAAAGGCCACTAGGTTGGTCAGGCAAGGTTTGCCCTTGATGAAGCCGAGATGATAATTCCATAATCTCCCTGTTACCGGCATTTTCTCTTTTTAAGTGCAGGTTATGTAATCTCTTCAGAGATGGATTTAACTCACTGATTGTTAAAAAGCAATTTGATAACCTCATAGAGAAGGCACTAAAATGTTTCAGACTTTTTTAGCCATCTTCACTAGCCTCACCTCCAAGGTATTTTCATCTTCTTTGTTCATGACCACTTGTTCTTTGCTGTTACAGTAACTAGATTTCCCCGACCTGTATCACCTCTTCAGGATGTGGCCATCATCATTGGAAGCCGTGAGCAATTAGCAGTGTTGTTGCAACTGTATGACTATCAGCTAGAACATGAGGGTACCACAGGCTGGGAGACTTTGCTATGGGTAGTTAATCAACTGTGAGTTAATTTATATCTTATGATTCCTAATTTTAAAATGTGTCAGAATGAATGTATGATTATGTTTAACAATTATTATTATACACAGTAAATTTAAGTATGATTGTGTTTTAAGAATTATTAAAGAGGAAAAGATTGAATTTTTTTAGATGTTTTAATTTTCCTACTGAGTTGACTTTTTTTTTATTCAGAAAATATCAACTATCTATCAGAATGTGTGTAACTACTTGCTCCAAAAAATTGTTTCTTTCAGCTTTGCACTAGTATAGCAATTCTTTGTTGACGTGAAGATTATTGTATCCTGAATATCTCATGAAATATACTGTTCTGCAGTGACAGATATTTGAAAACAAAGGTCAGACTTTTCTGGCACTTAAACCCTTGCTTTTTTCAAGGGTCAGGAATTGTACAGAAAAGGTAGATCATTTTATTAGAACCAAGAGTGCTGTGTCTGTATATTTATATTTATAAACAGTAAATGTATACAAATATAACTGGAGAGAAAGAAGAGATCAGAGTAGTGTTTAATATCCTTTTATTTCCTGATTTTTAGGCTACCACAGCTTATAGAAATAGTTGGCAAGATCAATGTAGCATCAACTGCCTGTGTCCATGAGTTCTCTAGATTTTTCTGGAGACTTTGTAGGACATTTGGGAAAATTTTTACAAACACTAAGGTAAGATATCACCTTAAATATTCTCCAAAAAGAGTACCTTGGTAATATATATTCTCCATATTTATCGTGTGTCTGTATACCTAAGCTGTGTGTGACCATTTACATTTGCATGTCACACTGATGCTTTTCTGTTAAGTACATTTAAAGCTGCAATTTTTAAACCTCTATGTGCATCCTTTTAATTTCTGGTTTTGACCATTTTGGAATGACCTTCTCATCTTGCCCCACAAGAAATTTTTTTTTTTTTTTTTAATTATATTCTTCATATTCACTTTGTGAATGGCATAGAGAGTGGGAGAGATCATCCTAATTCTAGTGATTTAGTGATTTTCTTTCTTCAGAACAGCATATTGTTCAGTGTTTGTGGTGTATGTAAGTACTCCAGCCTGTCCTTGATTGGAAATTTAAGATGAATGCTTTCCTTACCCAAAATATTTTTCTGCAGATGATATCTAAATATTTTAATCAAGGAAATATATCTTTTTTTCTCAGTAAAGTAACTTCTGAATATAATTTAAAAATATTTTAAAGGGAAATTATAAAACACAAGAGGATTACCTAAAGATAAAATTACAAAACAAAGTTAGCATTGTGTGCTGCCTCCAGAGAGGAGATTAAAACCAGTATCTGGTCTTTGAAAGCCCCTTCTCTAAGTTATCTGTAAAACCCTTGCTTCAATAAAATTGTTCTGATACTGATTATCACAGCTGTATTTTGGAAGAGAGCACTTCATGGACAGCAAAGATATAAAACAAAAACTCTGCCTCCACCACCCAAAACCAACCCGAAACACCAAAAACCAAAATAACCAACTGTAAACCCTAAAGCCCAACTAAGTATATTGCCAAGAGACTTCAGCTGTTGGTGTCTGGAGTGCTAAATTCTGCTGCCTTAGTGTGGGTACTCATCATACTTTCAATTTTTGTAAAAGCTGGCTATACTTTTTAATTTTTTTTTTTCTGTATCTTAAAAATGTCCTTTTTATGTTGTTGGGGTTGGGGTTTTTTTCCCTTTATTTTTTTCCTACATTAATTGAGACTGGTAGCAGGTTTTCTTACATTTTTTTCTGTACATCTTTTGTATAGGTAAAACCACAGTTCCAGGAAATCTTAAGACTGTCTGAGGAAAACATAGGTAAAGTAGCTTTTTACTCAAATGAATAAAAATTGATGTTAACTGTAACTGGAAAAAAAATGTCAATCTCTTGTTCAATTAACATTTTCAGACTGCAGTTCTCAAATTTGTCATCTTTCTGAAATGTGGAAATTCTAATCTTAATCTGAATGGAACACTCTGAAGTTGTAGATTATGTGTGTTTTAAGTACAAATAAAACCTCAAATCTAATTGCCACTTGAGCATTACTTTAGCACGTGTATGTACATGTATATATGTGTGTGTATATATGTATATAAATTCATGTATATATAAAAACATGAATATATATATAATACTTCTATATATGCACATATAAGTAGGCCTTATATATATTAATATATATATATAGTATGTATAGTACACACACACATATATGTATACATAAAACCTAAGTTATTCCCTGTGTTTCATTAGATTCCACAGCAGGTAATGGAGTGCTAACAAAAGCCACAGTTCCCATCTATGCAACAGGGGTCCTTACATGTTATATTCAGGTAGGTGTGTTTTTCTGTTTGTTTGTTAAATGTATAATAATATGTAAAATTTATTCTACCAAAAAACCGTTACTGTTTTCTTTGTAAACTTGCAGTGCTCTCGTGCTTTGAAGGTAGGTAGGTAAGTGGACAGCTATAAACACCTTTAAAAGCAAAGCTTTCTAGTCAGGTTGTCTACTACGTTTAGATGATAGTTGTCAGTGTTAAAACCTGAATTCAGTAAATCTTAAAGTGACATCTGGCAACTTCACCACTGGTACCCCTCAGACATTGACAGCTGCCATGTGCCTCTACCAAAAATATTAGTGTTATTCCATGAGTGGGTCCTCGGCCGTTTAGCTGTGACTTCTGCAAACATAATTGTGGAAAATTTCCTGAAACAGATGAGCAGGTAAATCACCATTTTGGGCATAGTTGGAGTCTTAAAATTTTAGTGTTGCGTAGTACAAAACTAAACATAAATAATACTGGCTAATCCTCCAGTAACCAGCAGTTACAGGCTGGCATGTATGTCGTTTACAGGGAAAAAATAAGTACTTCATCTCACAAATGTTTAGTGGACTGTGAGCAATCACAAACTGTCAGGAGGCAGGAAAGTGCTTAAGCAGTCTTCTCAGAAGTTTCTTTAGTAAAACAATTTGGGTAATTTATGCAGGAGTATATGCTTAGTTGATGAAATACAGAAATACAGTCTCTTCTTGTATTTGCTTTGAAAGGTTCTTGTTCTTAAACCACATTTTTTAAGGTCATAAGAACCGAAGGCTAAATTGAAGGCTAAATCTAGTTTGTTCTCCTTCATAGTTTGTCTCTTTTGTAGCTGTAGGTCATCACAACTGCAACAGTTCTTCTACTACATTCAACATTTTGGGCTCTTCTTTCAGGAAGAAGACCGCAAGCTGTTAGTTGGATTCTTAGAAGATGTAATGACCATGCTTTCACTATCCCATGCTCCTCTTGATAGCCTGAAAGCTTCCTTTGTGGAACTGGGGTAAAGAGTATACCTTGGAGTTGTCTAGAAGTTTTTATTAAAAGTTTCTAATCTAATTTTAATAACTGTGATGCTTTGGGTAAATAAAGGGTATACTTGGGTTTTTTTTTCCCTTCGTATTTCACAAAATTTAGACTTAATCTGTAGATTAAAAATGTATTGGTAAAAAATTCTGATGTGTAAAAAAAACCAAAAAAACAAACAAACAAACAAAAAAAAACAAAAACAAAAAACCAGCAAAAATCAGTCATTGAGGATAAAATGAATATTTATTTTATATTTTGCATACTATTATGGTGTGTTCTAGATATGTATTTCCATTCAGTTCAGTGTTAGAATTTATTGAAAATTATATTGTTAGGGTTTTTTAAAAAAATATCTTAAAAATGCAACTTACTTTCTAGAAAGCAACATGTTGCATGTCTTTCAGAATGAGATAAATGTTGTGTGTCCTTCAGAAAGGATAAATGTTGGAGTGTTACATTTGTTGAGCAGTGGATTCTTGAGACTACATTTTGTAGGCAAAGAACGTATTCAAGGTTTGGGAGTATTTTTTTTTTTATTGCCCAACTGTTTTCTTTTAGTGCAAACCCAGCTTATCATGAGCTGCTATTAACTGTCTTATGGTATGGAGTTGTCCATACTTCTGCTCTTGTTCGATGTACAGCTGCTAGAATGTTTGAGGTAAGTGTTATCCAAACTTTTTTACACCTTTTTGAAACTAGAGTTTGTTTTTAAAAACAGTGATTCAGATAATGTTGCTTAGAAGTTACAAATAGCTTAAATAAGTTGTGTACTGTGTGATGGAGCAGGAGGCTGGTTGCAGTTGTTTCTGTATCTGTTCTACAGCACATCTTTCATTAAGCAATTTGTCATTAGCCAGATGTTTCTGTAGTAACTGTGTATGTGTTCTTTGATCTGCTGCTGACTTGATTGTTGCATTCTGATTATTGCATGCTGAAAAACATTTTCCAATTATGAAAACGCATTTAATTGCTCAACCGTGTTCAAACCAGAGTTAAATACAGGGTCAAATGTGTTTGCTTAGGTCTGTAGATAAATATAAACAAGCATCCCTGAGTTTTAACATTTGCTTTTGCTATTTAACACATCATTAGTAGCCCAATTCTCAAGTTAAGTGTTTTCAGTATTTTTTGTGTATACCTGTACAATGCACTTGCACTGTAATTCAAAGTAGTTTCCATTGGTGCCAGACGTGGTAAAAACATACATTTAACCAATTTTGCCTTTTTTAAATTTTTTTTTTAATTAAAATAATTTACTATTATTTTACTTGCCACATAGTGACAGTTTCGTCTGTCCCTTAACATCTATAATTTGTTCAGGATAAAGACTATCACATTTAACTATTAAGTTTCCTTTGTATTTCCACATCATGCCTTTGTTTCATCAGGTTTTAATTATAAAGGGCCTATACACAAACACTCCACTTTTTTTTTCTTTTTTTTTTTTTTTCCTATTTGACTAATTTTTAATTCCACTTTCAAAGGTTTTTTTTTTTTTTGTTTTTTTTTTTTCTTTTTTTGTTTTTTTACGTTTCTTCCACATTTGACTCATTTGGATAGCTTTACAGTGGACATCTAGCTGAACCTACCAGCTTGTATCCATTTGCAAAAAGAAATATCAAGTCTGCCTTGGTATAAAGTGCTAAATAACCACTTAAAGACATCCTGAGGCTTCAGCTGAAAACATCCAACCTTGTTTTGTTTTGGTTTTTTCCTCCCTCTTCCTCTCCCTTTAAAAAAGCAATGGCAATTTTTGGTCATCCTTAAAATATTTTTGAGTTGTTATTTGGTTATTTTGGGGGGTTTTTTAATATAACAAGGATATTTCTTATAACTTATATTTGTAATGATAAGCTCTTCCCCCCTCCCCCCCCCCCCCCCACTAAGCATTAGTCAAACATGTGAAAGACCTCAGTTACAACAGGCTGTTGTCTTGGTTGCCGTTTCTTTTTAAATTAAACTGTATGTTGATTATTTTTAGGCAGTCCTGCGTGCTATTTGACTGCTTGTTTCCTAGTATATTTCAGTTTTTACTAGTCAGCTTTGTTGCAGACACTTTTCTCACTTGAAAATAATACCATATTGCCACTTCCTTGGTAGCCATGGCATACATATTTATGCTTGGCAATATGTAAATTTGGGAAGTCACCGGTGTAAATGGGTGATAATAGTTGATTTAACTTTTGGAAAATCTTTCATTTGAGGAATTCCTCACATCTCAGATGCTTTTGAATGGCAAAGCCCAGCAATTAGAGAATAAAATGATGAGTATGTCACCTGCAGGACAGCGGTATGAGAACTGTAAAGATTCTGAGCAGCATGGAGACCACCGTGGTTTGGGTCTGCCAGGCTGTGTTACCAAAACTCTACAGTCTGTTAAGGATTGGAAGGACACAGAAGTGATTTGGAGCCGTTCTCTCCCTTCCCTCCTCTGGGAGCAGGAAACTTTGTGTTGCCATTTTTAAGGTGTAGGAGGCATAAGTAATGATCACAGATTGATCTAGAGAGGAATCAAACAGGATGACAGTTTGTGTTGTCTCACTGTATCCTTACGTGCTGCTGCAGGGCTTTGCCCATCCAGCTGTTTCTGTTGCTTCTCTATTAATGTTTTCAGTCAGTAGTTTCCCATTTGATTGCTGCTGGTTTGAACATGAAGCACATAGTTGAGTTAGAAGCTTTGTTGGTTCGTTTAGGTTCAAGGTTAGGAACACATCTTCAGAATAATACTTGAATCATAAAGAATGTTGTATTTTCTGCAGGACAGAACGCTGCTGTTTACCATGCTTTACCATAATTAGAAGTGTGGCAGCCCACATAGTCATGAAGCTGAGATCTTTCTAAATTGTTTACTAATACACAAATCACAAGAATTAATTTTTTTCAAAGCACTACATTACCTCTAGGCTTTTCTCAAAATTAAGATTAGTAAAGAAAACTCAAGTCCTTATTTGTTCAAAATTGAGAATAGTAAGCATTCTCTATTGTAATCAATGGGAAAACTGGTAAATCTGTATATGAGAGTAAGATTATCATAGTCAAACAGTGAGCTAAGTCCTTAGCAGCTGTTTAAAAAGCAACCCATGAGTTCAATACATTAGCACTTTTAACTTGTTGCCACTGTAAATAACTGTGAAATGCATTAGTGTTAAAAAGTAGTAGTTGGACTGACATTCCTAATACTTTCTGAATAACACATAGGAAGTTGTGGCTTTCCCCCTCCAGGTGCTTTACTGCCATATTGCATATGTTCTTAGCTTAACAGTTCTCTCCCATTCTTCCTTCTCCAGTTATCTGTAAGGCCACCATATGTTCAGTGCATGTGTGCACTCACTCACCCATGCGTCCACATACGTGCACACTCAAATATTGCTTCATCAAAATTACAGCTCTGTATAGAAGGCTTCTGGAAAGTCAGGTTCCTTCTAGTCTTTCACAGTTTATTTTGTTTTAAATTCAAGATTAGTAAAGCAGGA